TTGATTTAAACTATCATAATGTATAACTATCCAAAAGTACTACAAGCTTTGTTATAATATTTTGTGTTGGATGTTTTCAAGAGTGAGTTTATTTTAGAAAATTAGTTATATTCTATATTAGAACCTTAAAAGACAATATATTAGATACTTCAAGTAACATCTTCATTTTTGTAGGATTGGTGATTTCTTATCTTTGAACCTTAAATAACTAATTATACAAAACCTTATACCATACTAGCATCTTGTTCATTGCCATCAATTTAAATTGACCATGTATTTAATTGTATATAGAACTATTTAAGACTAAATTGAGTTCTAACTATTAAAAATTAGAGAAGATAGAATTGCACCACAAGTCTACTTTACATCTACATTGCTACCACCCTTGTATAATCAACTTACTTCACAAGCCAAATTCTCCAATTACACACACATGATCTTTTCAATGCTTATAAAGTGAGCAAAGAAGAACAATTCTTTAGAAAGAGTAAAAAATACATGCTCCATTTTCCATTGAAACAACACAACAATCGTCGTTGACAGCGGCCATGGAGTGGAGGATAATACACTCCATCTCAAGAACATGTAACACAAGATTTCAACTGTTACTGCACCCAGCACCATGCACGACGTGTTTGGCTCGACGATTGGAAGATCAACTACAGTGGCGGAGAAAACGATGTTGCCCCAGCAAGTATCAGAAGTGCGATTGTTTGCTAGTTTCTGCATCGGCGTTGTTCAGACGTCGAATACAAGTTAAGCTCACAGATTCGTAATCTGTTAGCTCCGCTGAGGGACATGTCAACTGACTCGCTAGCATGTCATGCACTGTTTGCAGGAACCGTGGATGTTGAATGCGGAGGTGTCGAGGCTGGATCTTGCGGTACAAGTCTGATGAATGATCTTGGTGGATGTTGAAGAATCGCACCTGGGCTCGTGAGATCAACGAAGTGGAACCCATATCTACAGTTGACAGTTCAATCAGCCCGCTCTGTCTCGCCGAAAAGTCCTGTTGTATCACACACCCTACGGTTTCTAGCATGCAGGCATCATTTACAGAAACTGAGGGAGCTTGGTCCGACGCACGAAGTCTTGTAAATACCGTGAGATCGACGCATCACAGGATTTAATTGATCCACCCTGTCCTCCATGTCCAGCAGGACGGCTTCTCAAGAACAAAATGTCGAACCTCCAGACACAGGATATAGTAAACATGGGGCTAGGCTGACGTTTCACATCCATTTAGAGAGGGCGGTGTGGTTTCAGAAACTGAGATGTCGATGGCAAAGAACACAAGCACTGAACGATCTTCTCTTCACAGATGATTCTAGTAGTTTAGATGTGTAAATGAAATAGTTCTGTAAATCACATTATTATACTTAACATTTTCTTCATTAGGAGATATGCTGATCGCACCCATTGTCTTTACGGCATTCCATTTCCAGGTCTGCACTCTGCACTTGTTTCAAGCTGTATCAACTTCTGCTGGATCATTCTGTGCAGTAGGATCTTTGACCAAGTTATGAATGGCACTGTTGCCTTTGGATGGTTTCATTTCACAACTCTATTATTGTTGGTAACTGCTGCAGCATCTTCAATTAAATTTTTTTCTAAACCAATCCGAGCACAAAAGTACCTCTCCATGACGTGCACACATTCGAAAGAACTTCCAATGGTGGTGTTCATGGGTCACCTGCAGAGACTTGGAAGTGGGTTGTTTAGCAACAGAAGACATGGCACCATCTTTCCTATGGTTTTGTCAGCACAATCTTGACTTGACAGATTACTAAAATTTACAAATTCCACTACTCAAATTTGCACCTGAAAACAATCTCAAATGTTGTGAAGTGTTGCAACCTTCCAGATGTTAGTTTTCTTGCTTCAGCTTCCTTGACGTTGTAAAAGTTTGCATTCTCCAGCAAATCCAACGTTTCTGATGTTGTAATAGCCCACAACTTTCAGCGGTGGTCATCATCTTTAATGACAAATAACACGATCTTGATCATTCATAGCTCATTTTCAGCATCGCCTACATGCATCCAGTTAATTAATCATATTTTATATTGAGTAATAGAGTTTAATTTACATGAAAAACATATATATATATATATATATATATATATATATTTCCCCTCTAAAAACGTCAATTATTTCATCAACATGAAATCATATCAACTTTTTGTACCTATAACATTTGCACAGTGTATTTGAAGAAGTGAAGTCAAAAGGAACATAGTAATTTATATATAAATCCATAAACAGAATTACAATCTTAAACCAATTATGCATTTTTTGGTGATATAATTGATGTGAATTTTTAAAGAGGCTTTTAAGTAAAATTTAATTACCATTTAGATAAATATTAATTTAGACCAATTATTTAAATTGATTGCCATTATAACTTTTTGAATCTTTATAGTAAAAAATCCTGTAATGAATAGTATTATAATGAATGTTAATGTTATCACCAATTTTTTGTATGTTTTAAACATTAATAGTCCTATGTGTTGGTGTTTTAGAAGCTGTTTAAAATAAGCTTATATTTACAAACTTAAACCAAGAAAGTATCAAGTTTTATTAAATTTTTGTTAATTAGAAATTATAGTACAAATAAAAATAGATGTATAATTATTTTCTTTTACATATAAAATAATTCAACCATTTGATTATATTTTGATAAAAAAATAGATATAATTTTAATGAATATTATGAAGAATAAAAAAAAATGTTAATAAGTATACAAAAATTTGTAGAAGATAATAGAAGATTTGTTAAAACATATAAATGACTAGAAAAGATTTTGGAAAGTTTTGAAAGGTTTTTAAGATCTGCAAAAAGTAACACAAATATCTAGATGGTTTTAAAAAATTTTGGAAAGTATTTGAAGTGACAATCCATTATGTATTTATAATGCATATTAAAAAAATTGAAGTTTTTTAAATTTATGTAGTTTAATTTTATTAAAATATATATATATATATATATATATATATATATATATTATAATCTTTGGATATTTTTTATGAATATTTTGTAATTATTATATATAAAAATGATAAAATAATATAAATATATTTTTATATATTAAATTTTTTTAAAAATTATGCATTTTTTTAAAGAATTGTACTTCTTAATTCTTTTTTAAAAAATTTCACTTTTAGAAATATATGGTTTTTTTATAATTTTAATCAATCAAATTATCTATTTGGTATTTTTAATTGTAAATATTATATATATATATATATATATATATATATCTTGTTTTTATGGATGCTTAATTAGAATTTAATTTTTCTTTTAGATTTCATTCATATCCTTAGTAATGTATATAATTTCTAAAGATGAGGTGCATATCAATTAACATTAAAAAAATATAATTAATACTATAATGTCATGTTTAAATTTTGTCAATTTAAGATAAAATATTTTATTTATGATTTAATATATTCATTTTTAATGCATTCTATACTATGATTCTAAAGTTTTAAAAAATCCTAAAGTTTTTATAGCTATGTGATGAATTTAATAGTAATAAATTTAATATTTACAAATTTATCTATCTTAGAGTTGCTAGCTTTAATTTATTTTTGATTGCCTTCTATTAGATCTTATTCATATTTATTTTATTAATATAATCTCTTTCTTAATCTAATGTTAACAATATTACCTCAAATACAAACCAAAAATTATATTATTAATTTAAAAACGTCTTCACTATACAAAAATAATCCCAAGTTTTATTCATTTGAATATCTAATTTATGCATATAACATATTAATCTACAATTTCTTTGTACTAATATGCATAAATTTTCTAATTGTTTTTTTTTTCAACCCATGTTGGTTAAAGGGATTTTAAAAATTTTGTTATGTATTTTTAATTCAATTTTTATTTCTGAATTTAAGAACTGCTTAATTTAACTTCTTATTTTTATTTTACATATCTGTTTTCCATTTTCAAGTGATTTGTTTAAAAATGAGCAAATGATACAATCTAATTCATGTATACTTTTACATATATTCAAACTACAGTTATATATATATATATACCCTCCTTTTATTACATGCACACCCCCTTGTGCCTTGCATCTCTCCATTCACATAGTGAAACTCTTATTTACACTAAATATTTTAAAGTAAATTTACAATAAAAATCTTCCTAAATGAAATTAATAAGCTTTTTAAAGTGAATGAAAATATTACATAGAATGCATTATGATTTTTTTTAAATTAAAAAATAATAATAATATACCATTAGAAATTGCACACAAATCTTTACTACAAATTTACCTTAAGAAGTTTTTAGAGTAAATAATTTTTTTATTGTATATATGCAAAGATGTGTGATATGGGGGGAGCGTCCAATCACTAATAGAGGATATCCACCTAACGGTTCCCTCTCTCTTTTTATACATATATATATATCTATATATATATATATATTCCAATCAATCAATCAGGTGTGGAATTTGCATAGCCATATACATGACAAAGCCATCACGCCACATGTGCCGCAAACCACCTCACGCTGAATCCACCTCCCGCCACCTGCCGCTGAAAACTGCTGACGAACGCCAACGAACGCCAACGAACGCCAACGAACGCCAACGGATGCCATCGAACGGTGACTGACGCCGTCTGTCTGCGGCGCATATGCTCATCGACTCGTTCTTGCACGCTTTACTCACAGAGACGATTTTCCGTAAAGCGGGGGGTGGGTATTGCATCCTATTGCGGTGATCGATGATCTTATGAAGGAATTAGGTTTACAAAGTCCATAATTTTCCTCCTCGTTGGACATCTGTGCCGTACGATGAAGAATTACTATTCTCGAGTAAGCGTTTCTGTGCGATTGACCACACCTTTGCCACTTTGTTGTCGCGGCAGAGTAGGAAATCCCAAAAATCTGAGTCCGCTTTCCTTCCACAAATGTAGCAGGTAGCTTCGAGAACTGAAGATTGCGTTAGTGAAGCAGTCGGTTTCTGTTTGTCAGAAGTAAGATCTGCACCTGTTGAACTGTCGATGTGGCCACCTTTTCCCTTCTTATCCACTTTGTTGCGTGCACTATAGTCGTCAGTCCCACTTGCTGACAGGACGGTATGATGATCAAGTTTGGAGTTGCGAGTTGGGAAGAGATTATGCGAGACTGAGAAAATCTGAAAAAATTTAGAACAGTGGTATGAGGAATTGCAATGGTGTCTTGCTTTGGATTTATCTTTTCATTGGAATTAGTATCTGAATTCGTGTGCACCCGGCGGGGCTTCGCTTTAGTTCTGGATCACATCTTTTTATGTAGTATTCTTATCTATTTCCTCAAAGCTTCTCTCTGACGTTATATGAAGATAGGATGCCGAAGCAGTGATTAATTTGAATTTTGAGCAACACAGTTTCTTCAGTTGATGGATTGAGAAGCTCTTCTTTGGCCGGGTGCTGTGTGTCATGGCGACGGGCTTGGGAGCGTCGGTGGAGAGATGGAAGAGGAGAGGTTCTAATTTTTGAAGTTCGCCTTGGTTGGTGGTCCAAGCTTATTGTGTGCTATATATATATATATATATATATATATAAATACATTTTCGTTGTAAATGTAGGCGAGTTTCGGCTCTGCAGCTCTCTTTGAGCTGCCACGGAAGGGATTACAGTCTCACTTTTTGATTGTAGACGCCTTGCCTACTGATGGGTTTGATGATCATAAGTTCTGATGAGGATCCTGAAGAGTCGACACCGTCGTTCGATTTAAAAAAGGATTATCACAGTACATAGTAACCCTTACAATGCTTAATGACCGTGCAGATGGGATTTTTTTGAACTCTGTTGGTGGAATTGCATCGAAAGCGGTTGAACTTTTGGCCGCCTCACTCCTCGTACACGTGATGTGAAGCTCCTTCATATGGCTTAAGGTTTTAGCTACACGATTCCACGCATAACCTCACTCCCCGCCGGGGGGGGGGGGGGGGGAGGGGAAAAGAGTTGTGGGATCAAATTTTAGTGATGTTGTAGTAAGATTGGTGTTCCGAGTGTTCTCGGTAGTTGCCATTGCTGGGTTGTTTGTGATTATGGCGGTGGCAGTGCGTTTGGAATCTGTTTTTTGTTTTAGACATCCTCCTGTATCCATCACTAGTAGAAATTTGTGTGCGTGCGCACATGTAAAAACCGGCAACCTATTTGTGATCCGATTAAAGTCACTACCATTTCCTCAATCCCAGCGGCTAGCAATCTTTCAAGTGCGATGCAGCTCGACTGCGGATGCCTCGCGGGATAGTTGTATGCCTTTCCCGACTCTTTACGAGCTCCTTGAGATTCCGCAGCATGTTGGTGAGTATTTAACATCCTGCTGCTTCAATTGTCACGGAATGTTATTAGCTCCTTAATTCTCCTCTTTACGACAATGATATTGAAACATAATCGCTGCTGCGTGAAAACTATTGATCATTATTGACTGACACAACTTTAAAAGCCATCAACTATAAATTGCAAAGGGGACTGCAATGAAGGGAATGCGTTTTGCTAAATCCACTCAATCTGTCCCACCAGATGGCTGTTTTATGTAGGTGACAAATTTTAATTTTTTCTAAGAACCTCCCTATGTTTTCAACTTGGTTGATGTGTTTAAGACCTCGCTATTGTTGAAATAAGACGATTAACAGACAAATGAATGATTACAGTAACTTGTATATTGTTCAAGTGTTCTAGTGATTGGCAGCATTGTTCCCGGTAATTTTAGAATATTTTTTCTTAGTGCTCAGGCGTACTCAGCTGTTGCTTTTGGCATGAATTTATCTTATATTCTGCGAAATTTCTAGACACAACACTTAATAAATCTACACTAGAAAAGTTGTAGGTCTTCATATATGCGTACTAGACTGGACTAGCCAGGTTGACAATGCATAGTGTATACTGTATCTAACTTGCTTTATATGGTTTGAGGTGGTCTCTGGATGTAATTCCTACCCTCATGAAAACATTTTTTGTTTGTAGCCATATATGTACTTTGTTCTTTGAATCATAATGTTTGACATACGATGTCTCTAGGGTTGCCGGAAATTAAGCTCGCATACAGGCAAATGGCACGACGTTACCACCCAGATGTGTGCCCCCCAACTGAGAAAGAGGAATGTACGAGGCGCTTCATGCAGGTTCAAGAAGCGTATGATACGCTCTCAGATCCTCACCTACGAGCAGATTATGACCTCTGGTTGCAGAACCCTTTGAACGCTAAAACCCTCTCAGCTGGTTTTAGAGCAGGAAATCGCAGAAGAACAGGAAAATTTGACATGGATGTGAGTGACGATTGGAGGGACCATTGGAAGTCTCAGTTGCAAGAGCTTAGACGTAGAGAAGGTAGAGGTGTTAAAGAAGAATCTTGGGCATCTAGGATGAGGAAGAAACGTGAAGTCGAGTAAGTATCACCAATAATGTGATACTCGCATCTGCTCGAAGCTAAGAGACTCAAAACCCCCCACACGTTTCTGAACTAGCAGTGATATGCAGGAATAACACATAATATGGATCCAAAATAATCACTATTAGCGGCACAAGTTGTGTAGCAGTTGGTGTAAAGATGTAGTTAAGTAACCCAATTTTGACATGTATCATACTGCCTGCGTGCAGAAATCAGACTATGTATTTGGATGGAGATGGAGATATGATACCGCACTTCTTCTTTTCTGCATGCGATGCCAGGCTCTTAGGACCCTGAGTGAAGCCCACTTCAGGTCGAGTTTCAAGCTGAATTCTGAAAGGTTCTATTTCCTGAATTTGGGACCATATTCTTGAAACTCTAAACATTTGTACTTCATTTGGTGCAACTTTTATTTTTATGTTTATTAAACACATAAACTAAAACAAGATAAAAATGGAAGGAGAGGACGGAAAAAGAGAAGTTGGGAAGGCCACCCGAAATCCATGAAGGGAAATAAACATGCATTTTTCAGTATTTGATGTATGTTTGTGTGCATGTATATATGTATAGAATTAATGAAAAAAACGTAACACATGATGCTAAGGTGACTTACAATATTACAATACAATTTCAATAAAATAAAATAAAATAAAATAAAAATGAAGTCTTAAACTTCATGAATCTATATTCACTTTTGATATTGCCAAATTCAAAAAATAAACAAGATTTTTATCTTGATTAATCATTATTTTGTTGTTGATGAAAATAGGATGTTTGTTGTAAGATAAACAAATGATTCAGTATTTTACAACAATATTTTGCAAAACATATATATATATATATATATATATATATATATGCATGAATGGCAAGTAAAAAAGAAATAATATATTACATATCTGATTTTTTATTGTTATTTATATATATTAGTTATATAAAGTTGCATATTATATCTTGTATAGTTTAATTTTTAGGAATAGTTTTTAGATATAAACTTATGTAGTTTACAATATTAAAAATTACATGTAATTCTTTATATGTTTCAATATATTTCATGTTTCTAATTTATATTCTAATTTATTTTAAAAATACACTAATTATAGATTTAAAATATATCAAATATGAAAGATATATTTTTAATATTAAAATTTTACTTATTTTTAATAAGTAATTGTAAGATTATTTATTTTTTATCTAATAAATTATTAATTAATATTTTATAATATAAAATTAGGCTCTTTTTTGTAAATACTTCTGGTTGTTTTAGTTATTGAGTTTACTTTTCAAATTGCTAATATACCTAGTAAATGAACAAGAATAAATTTAATTTTTCTAGAAAAATGAAGTTTTTAGCAATTTTTTTAAAAAATAGATTTTTTTTTTTTTTTTTTTTTTTTTTCCAAAATAATTATCTCAAATTTTTTTAGTAGTGATTTAAGGTAGTAATATCCTATTACCCATATTGTGTATTATAGAGTGAGTTTTATAAGACCGAATTTCTTGAAACCAACTCTAAAATTGACATATTGATGAATAGTGCTTGATAGATTATTATCTATAAGGATAAAAACGAAATATATAAGAGACTATGTAGGAAATTAGATTTTTTGTATAAATAGATAGATATACATTTAATAATCGAAGCATAAATTTTGGAGTCTTGTCCATATGGAACCAAAGATTCATTATTCCTAGCTAGTTTTAGACTCAAATTTAGATTTTTCCATGAATTGATTTATCCAACATATTCACATTAATTTTTAAGAAACATATTTATGAACTACTTTTTATTTTTAAATTTTTTAAAGATCTAATAAATTTTAATTATATAAAATTTTGCATTATCTATTAAGTAGAAAAAATAAAATATTTATTACTATCAAAATTACTTATGATTTACTTTAGAATATATCATACAAAAGATACATCTTATATAAGCCATATAAAATGTATCTTTTGTAACATGTGCCATACATTTCTTTAATAACCACAAATAATTATATAATTTAAATAAAGATTAATTAATAAAATACACTTAAGTTTTAGTTTATCATTGCCAATTGGTGATTTTTTCTTCAGCCCATTTTCTACAAAATTCTACTAGATAATAAATCCTGTAGTATTATCTAGTAAAAATGCCTCCCCAAACGTCAAGCCACTGAGTGAACTTGTTACGAACGAATTTTGCAAGATGGTTTTTAGTGGAGATGACTACCATTGCTATTGTTTGCAATAGATTCACCTCACTGAGCTCATTTAAGATCACTCAATACAACCGCTGCCCTGTATACAAAGTATCCTAAATATTGTAGGATTACATCAAGTAGATACCACTTTTGCAAGGTCGGCAAAAACTTGCCCACGATGCTCAAAATTTTTGAACTGGTCAAAGCTAGCGCAGCCAGGACTCAGAAGAACAGCATCTCCTGCAAAGATTAACACTCACATTAATCAACATCTATTACAATGTCCCCATTCAAGAATTTGAGGGTACATCATAACGAATCTATCTGAGAGTATCAAGAGATGCAGAGAAACATAGAGAGGAATAAGGAATATGTTACAAAGATGAGTTTTTGCAAGAAGAGAAGATTGACATATACCAGGTTGTGCCAAAGAGCCAGCAAGTTGCACTGCATCTGCAAAAAGTTCTGTATATGTGCATGTGATACTCAAACCTGCGTGACGCAACTCCTGTTCAATCGCAAGGCCCGATGCTCCAAACTACAATCGATTATAAGTCATTAGATACAGTGACTTGCAAAAAAGTACCCAAGGCCACAAGCAGAGAATACCTTCACTCACCAATTATGTTTGGTTTCTCAATTTGGTCGGAATGAGTATGCATTATCACTCAAAAATCTACTTAACCAAATAGTTTCACACACACGGACTCAATCACTACTGGACTTAAGACTACAATTTAAGGCCAGTCAAATTTAGTGATTTCTTCATATTAAAATTGAATTTTCTAAAAAGCCAAAAACAAGAAAAAAAGGGAAAAAGTTGTACTCACAAGTACAACAGCCCGATGAGATTGTAGGGATTCAACTAGAACACCGAATCCAAGTCCTCCGCTTCCTACTCCAACCTGCTCATGTAATAATTGAAGTGGAATGTTTTCATTTATATACTGCAACTGAATAACGCAACATCGTTATCAAAAGTATTTTCTAAAAATAACTCGTACAATTTACAGCATGGAGCTCATAAATTGCCATTGATGAGCACATAGAGCGAGGAAACAGCAACCTTTGCTTGGCCCCCTAACAACACCACTGCTTTCTTTCCCACAATGCTTCTTATGCCAACTGAAGTGGAATCCACATTCGTGGCTTTGCTATCATTCACCCACACCACCCCTTGGTCGTCTTGATGCACTGGTCAGCAACACGAAACAAATCAGATTGGTCATTGGCAAAAGTTACAGTCCATAATGGTTGAGGAAATTAGTGACTTATGTAGACCATGTAGTTGAATGTAGATGTCAAGGTGACAGCATATGGGTTAGACAAAAAGAATTAGGAATTCAGGAAATACATAGCATACCAATTTCCATACGATGTGGAGGAGCCTTTAAGTGGGGAATAGCCGCTTGAATATCTTCTGACTGCAGTCCAACATCTAAAGATAGGGCAAGAAGAGCTGCTGTTCCTGCATTGTGAGCATTGTGCGTTCCGACAGCTTGAAGACTACTTAGGTAAAGGCGTGCCTCAACACCTGTGGTTGGCACTACAACAATAGCCCTTCTAGCATCCTTGTCCAACTGTATATCCAGAAGTAATCTTAGACACTTATCCAATGATACACAAGAAGACTGGTGAAATCATTAGAACCTTAACATCAGCAGGTTGAGGTAACAAGCAAGAACGCTAAAGACAAGAGTACGCACTATACCGACCTGTACACCAGGAAGGCCCCCCATCCATGCTCTGGTTGCTTGTGACCCACTCATAGCAGCCAACCGCCTCAATAACACATCAGCTGTGAAGAAGGTATCTCGTGAGAAAATTCAAATGAAAACATTTTTCAGCCTTCCTCAATAACTGATACCCTTGCACATCTATATGTATTTGTGAGGGGCACTTGCGTAACTTCTGAATCCTCTATTCGAAAACAAGGAGTATTCGGCACAATGCAGCTACAAACTTAATTGAAAACTTAGTCTTCATTGAAATAGCGGTTCGAATAGTTGAGCATATGAAACTCACACTGAGGTATGATGGCAACATCAGAAGCTTCCATGCGCGAGAATACTCGGCATTTTATCGAGCCATATGCCTCCATGCTCTTATGCCTTTCCAAATGATCTGGTGTCAAATTAAGTATCACCGCCGCCTGGTAATTACCATGCATTCAGTAGAGCACTATCATAAATTCGTGACCGGCGTGTTGGGTTTAGCTACTGCGTTCACTAGCATGTAGAAACTTCTAATCATTTCTTGATATCTTCAAAACTTTACATATAAGTTTACATGTAGGTTTTTGAATGAGGCGTAATTAGAAAGTTCTCCTTGACACATGTAGGTTTGAGAATCAGAACAGGAGTAAAATGTGCATGTAGAATTAATGTCATAAACTGCAAAAGATGTATAGATGGGTGCAGTGAGTATTACCTTAGGGTGAAAAGAACCAGGAAGTTCCAACTGGTAACTGCTCACCTCCACTACTGCTACCTGGACAGTAAATTTTTTCGTAAGTGTCTCCTATAACAACTTATATTAATATAAATTATTCTTACACATGGCCGATTTCACTCCATCTAGCAACATTGGCAACTAATATAACGCACAGTGGGAGACAATCAAATCTTTGAATGGGTCAAACTAAGTTTACACTAAAAGGAGGATCCTCTGCAGGGAATGCCAGACATTGCAAAACACCATCTGAAAGTGGAGTGCCAAGATTGCCCCCTACGAATGTCCGCACTCCTGCATTTCTTAAAATCTGAAGCAGCCAACACAAGCAGGAGTGAAAAAAGGAAGATATAATTTGTAAAAACATCCTTATCTAACTCGCAATCCAATAATCACTTAGTGTGTTAGTTCAATAGATTTGTCTTTCAATGACTTTCAAAGGAATTTGATATTACCAACCTGGCTAGTAAACGTGGTAACTGTGGACTTGCCATTCGTTCCTGTGACGGCTGCGACTTTTATGTTTCCTGGTAGGGCAGCTGCTGCAAATCCCAATTCTGAAAAAGCTGGCACGCCCTGCAAGTTTCATACCAATGCTTGGTCCCGGTAGTATAGTAGACATCGAAATACATCGAAATTTCGGCCCTTTCAAATCATCAAGGGAAAAAGATCTTGCACATTTTAATGGACATAGATTTAATGCCAGGTTAGTATTAGGAATGCTCATACTCACAGCTTGAATAGCAGCAGCAATGTCAGGATGTGTGACTGGCACGCCAGGAGAGAGGACTAATTGTGAAGCCTTAAGCAAGGTCTCTCGTTTATGTGGGCCAAGTTCTGTTTGAACTCGATTCAGATCATATCCTTCAAAACCTGAGTCTTCCTGTGATGTGTTTGAATAAGTTAAATCACTGCTTTGGAACGCGCATTTCAGCTTCAGCTTAGTTTGAATCTAGGCACTTTGTAACAGAATGCGACTTATAAAATTATCTGCTAGTCATCAACGACATGTCACGAAAGGAGAAAATCTAACCTCCAGCGGGACACATGAAGGATTTGAATCCAAAGCCAGCACATTTGCTCCGCGAGACAAGGCTAACTTCACAACTGAGCGTCCGGATACCCCTAATCCTATCACCTGCAATCGTCACAGCGGTTAAAACTTGAGTGCCTACTACCATTTCCACCCAGTTAGGTTCAGTTGCATGAAATTGTGAGAAAAATAAAATAAACAACCATTCTTCTTTCCATGCTGATTGAGAAGTAATGTGCTTACAGCCACAGTCTCTCCATTTAGATCTTGACGACTATCCTTCGCAAGGCACATTACGACCGAGTTTCCCCGGCTTGATCTTTGTTTCTCACCCTTCCGGTTATTGAGAGTATAAAGAACTGCATTTTCACACCACAAACATAGCCACAGACGCAATGCCACCACAAAAATGGCAAGTTACTAATCACTACAAGCAAAAAGATATTATATCAGAAGAGCTTAACAAACTGACTCCTCATATAGTTGACAGAACTTGAGACCTAAATTTGTCTTCAACATTCAGTGAAGAAAAGACCTCAGTTTTGGTACAAGAATTCATGTTCAACTCTACACCCCAACTACAAAAATTCAGGATACATCCATATTTCTCACCACAAACCTGAATCCTTATCAAGCCCATAATTGCCTTCTTAGATCAGAAAGTGTTCCAAATCAAATTACATGCTTGATTTAGAAAGAGATTGAGAATGACTTACTGCTCGAAGTATGAAAAAGAAGGCGCGAAGAGCTGTGCAGCAACGCCATAGCTCACACAAGAGAATACGAGGACAAAGATGGGCTTCGGAGCATTCCCACCGAGGGCCTGAACATGCGAAATGTCATCCGAAATCTAATTGGGATCAACGCAGACGCTTTCAAAAGTGCTCCCGACCTCTAAATTCACGTCAAGATAAGTTCAGGGAGTGAACTGTGGAATTCCCAACAGTAAGAAGGGGCAAGCAAATACTCAATGCTCGACTGGAAGATCCAAAAGACAGAGGAAATTTCATTCGTCCTCAAATTCCCAGGTTTAGGGTTTGGGTTTAATGTTTGGTGTTAAACGGGTGCGTGTGGGGTTTAGTTTTAGCTTTGAACTGTGACCGAACCACAACTTGGGTAGTCACGATGAAGGCAGACAAGCCCCGATTACAGCCTCATGTGCTGTTAAACTTAGCCGTGTGAGGGAGAGTTTCGGGAGGTGAAAGATGTGTGGTTTTGTATGTGGAATCTTGCGTACACGTTTTGAGTTTCGGAGATTGGCCATTACTTCCTTTGAGCAAAGAATGTAATTAGAGTCCGAATCGAGTTTATTTCTTGAAGAGTAGTAAACCTTTTGCAGGCCGTCAATTTCCTATAACTTGATCCTTTCTCAAATGGTAGCAGTGCCACTGCCGAATTGGTTTTACTAGTCTTTTAGTGACCAGATACTGTACCTGTTCTCTCCGTTATTACATGTGCTGGATTTCCTGAAGTGTTTTATGTTGCAACAAGTGAGGCGAATGAAGGCTGCAGGATACATAATTCTAATCTGTATGCTACTCTGATTCTGCAAAGTTCCAGGTTGAGCTCTCACAAAGAAGCTGTATGTGTCAATTAATCTGAGCCTTAAGAAGCAAATCCGTCTGTTATCAACGTGAAAGTAAAAAAGATTGATCCTTATTCTTAAATAGACGTTGCATTACGTTTAAACCACCATGGACAACTAATATGTCAATTTTATTTTAGATTCTGGAGCCTCGTAAGCAGAGCATTGATTTATATTTCAGCATAGATAGCTGATTAATCATGCACAATGTAACTGTATCGTGCGAGCACCATAGTCATGGTCACTGTAGGGTGTAATAGCTGAGCACCTGGAGGCTTCTTTCCAAGGAACAGGTTTACTTTGTCCTGATTATTACTGACTTGGTAAGTAGCAGTCATATTTTCACAATATTACACTTAAAAATGGACCTAGTTTTCTCTTTACGGCTGGACCCATGGAACACATATATGTGTGTGTGTGTGTGAGAGAGAGGATTGATTGCCTCATGTATGTATTGCCTCTGCTCAACCTTTGTAGCCTCCACGCTTCTCAGAGATGAGCGAACAAACCTTCTGGCTACTGTTACAGAACCGGTGCGGCTCTTTCAAGTATAGCCCTACACAACAACATTACATGTATCCAAACTAGAACCTCTTATTCCGTTGACGTTTTCTGATTAATGAAACCATCAAGGTTTTTGAATTGGAGCTACACAGAAGTAATCAGGTATGTCTTAGATTTGAATCGCTTATTCTTTAGAAAACTGGGCACCCTTTGATTGAGATGCCAGCAGCAGTCGGGCAGTGTGCTAGTGGGCAGTGATCACCTTGGTTTCCCCACCACTCTAATGTGCCAAGACCCTGATCAAAGCAGACCCATAAAAGTAATCCCATGAAGGCAGTTCCTGTGTCTAAGGCCGCCGACAGAAGATAGTTGTAACGCTTCCACCACGTTTTGTGTCGGCGGAAGATGAAGCCATTGAAGAACATACCCACGGATAGCCACATCACATTATTTACAGGAGATGCTGGCGGCATGGTGAGGCCTCCAATGAGTATGATTGGCATGTTGACCCACTTGAGCCAAGTAGCTTTGGGGAAAACTTTCACAGCGATGTAGATTGGAACTGGGGCGAAGATCCCGATGACAAAGAACCAGTTGAGTTTGCCGTAGATGCCTCGCGTTCCGAATGTGCTCGATGGGCCTATGAGTCCCCAGATTACAGAAGCTGTGAATTGGACACTGTCGTTGGGGCATGTCCAAGGACTTCCAGGTGGGAGTAGCGCTGGATTACAGATGTTAGGGATTGCATCTAGAAGATACCATGTTGTACCCAAGCACACCAGTGCCGAGAGAATGGACCCCCAAACCTGTACAATGAACATGGTGCGCGGAGGGATCTTCATGTAATGACCCAGCTTGAAATCGCTTAAGAAGGATATTGTGTGCATCAAGTTGCTGCTGCCGTATATTCTGAAGCAGATATTGGCCACTGGCTTCTCAGGCATTATATACCCCATTACCATTTCGGACAAAACGTTAATTCCTGGTGCCTACAGGGGAAGAATTGAAGCCGTTATCATCAGGTTTACAAGGCTCAGTTAGATGATTGACAGATTTATTCCTGACTGCAGTGGTCCAATTGGTTCTTGGGAATTGGTCCTGTTTGTCAGAATTGGCTATTTTAGATGAGATATCTTGGGATGCAGGAGCAATTTACCTGATTTGCGGTGGCCACAAGCACACCGAAAGGAAGTGCGAAGGCGGTGGCTAAAACAAACCCCAACAAAACGCCCCACCAAGGTAGCTGCAGCTGATCTTTATATACTTCAGTACCGACTATGGATAGAACCAGGGAAACGCTCAGCAGTATCCAAAACCATTTCTGTGGAACAGGCTTGTAGGTCTGCATAAGCTGGGTATGGATGTCTTGCGTCTTGTCCCTGAAAGCTGCTCTTGATCCTTGTACAATGTCCCTGCATCAAGTAGGTGCTTCACCATGAGTCCTTATCACTGGCTGATTCAGAATGCAATCACGTCTAGATCTAGGAACAATGGTTTTTTTGGAGCTGGAACACTCACTTTCCATGGAAGAGGACGACGTGTGTTATCGCTGCTCCAATGACAGCGAAGCCCATGGCGTTTGTCATTGCATACAGAATGCTCAAGTGCAGCTGACTGTAACCTTCATAAGCTTTCGGATTCAAGGTCAAGTCGTGGTTCACAACTCGGTGGATGTCAAACGGAGAGCCATTATCAGCAAACGACTTGCTCGAGAAGATTGGAAACTTTCTGGCGTCGTATACATTAAACCAATACGTAATTGGGATTATGACATACAGGTAAAAGACGAACCCCACTGCGGCGTTCGCAAGAGCGAAGAAAGGAACTCCAAGCGGGCTCCCACGAAACGCCGAGATCGTTGCCCAATCCAAGGAGAACGAGCCAACACCCAAGCCCCTGAGTCCAGATCCTACTTGCTGAGCAGTGACGGATCTGGGATATAAGATACACGCCACTGAGATGGTGGTCAAGGAGCTGAAGAGGTACCCTGGGAGAACGTAGTACGCGAAGCTTGCCACAAGGCAAATGCAGAAAAATTGGACTCGAGACAGTGTCCGTTTCTCTTCCTTCTCGTGCAATGTCCTGCACAGCCACTCATCCTAGTTAATAATCTCACCGTATATGGGATCACTTGAATTATCCACCTTCGGTTTTTTCTAGCACCCAACGAAATGCAGTCGATCGAGTGGCTCATGAGGTTGAGCTAAAACTGTACACAGAATTCCAAGACTCAACAAAATGATCTCTTGCCGGATTCAATTTGGTGCAAATATAGAAGAGAATCATGGGGCAAGGGAAGTTACCGGAAGAGAGACACATTCACCAACGTGTGTGGCCACCACATTTGAGCCGGCTCCACCAACAGCTTGCGGTACAGCCCTGCAGAACCATACCCCATAATCTGGTATCCATGTACACTGCACTCGTTTAATACTGGCTCGATATTATCGTAACCTCTTCTAACACTTCTGGATGGTCATGGCAATGAAAAAATATGCTGCACTACATAAAATGTGTCGATGGCAGCGCACGGAAAGAAATCAAGCTGTAAAGTAGTGTGTGCTGGTGCTTCAAAGTGAAGTGCAGCCTCTGTTTGGAGAACTGCAAAAAGGAACTGGGTGCACGTGGTCATGATGCAACCCAACGAAGAAGGCCAGTTGATATGTTTTACTTACTTGAGTTGCTAACACGAAGAGAATAGCTGGAACGAAGTCCAACCTCTGCTTGTAAAACGCTTTCACGACATTGACCAACATGGCGCCCATTGCCCCGGACCCTGTGTTAGCAAAGATGGTGATCAGTACGTGCTCTTTGACGTTGAAGGGCCCAGGATTGAGCGAGAACCTCCTTGGAATCAAGGGAAAGCCGATGGGTTCTCCTGGTAGCAAGCGGGACATCAAACGGCCAAGCGGGAGGGCCATAATCTGAACGGCAATCGCGGAAACATGAAGCGGTTCTGAGCGATAGCTAAAGAATGTGTTGGTCACTGTAAGAACAACATTCGCCAGAGTTCCAAGCACAAGCGTTCTGAACGTCAGACATGGTAGGCTGGGGTCATCGGTGGTGGCCACCGTCAGTTGCACCTCTTCAATCGAACAAGGAGCACGAGTTGGTTCGTTCTTGAGAAGAAGTTGATTCTTCGTCGCATCTACACATGCTTTAGTACCTTCTTCAACTTTTCCTGGACACATTGGATGTACTTAACAGAGTTCACGAATTTCACCGCATCAGCCTCAACTGAGCAGATTGGTTGGAGCGCATCAACTTAATGCTCCTCACGGACACAAACCTTACACCAGCAACCAGGCCAGTTTTGGCTATACAAGTTCAGTTTGAGAAGGCATGTATATAGATTAGGAACAAGCATATACAAACACTCACTCTGCACCTACAGTTTCAACCGATCTACAGGAGAGAACGAGTGGAAATGAAAATGTATCGAAGTGTTCGCTATCAAGGAAGTACTGAGAGGACTGTGGGTAAAGAATGAAGTGTGAGGAGCTGCTTGGGCTCTGAGATGTTAATTGATATCAGATAATCCATTCCAAGTTTGATGCACTGGTGTCATGGGACACACATCTAAAGTATACCAACCACTGCTATACGACAACACTCACCCTTTATTGTCAGGAAAATCTTTTTTTCACTGAGTAATCTCACTGCAGTGAACGCACTGCCTTCCGCACATGTCCATGTCTGTCAACATCTCATGGCCATCCTTCCGACAGCTTCAGCTCATTCGTGTAGGCCATCATTTGCTGTACTTGCAAATTTTCATTCTACCTTGTTCCAATGCCTGGTTGTATTCGAAACCGAGTAATTCGTGTGATGGCTTGCAGAATGACTATCGTCTGGTTACCCTACTCACGATTTGCACTACGGATCACGCATTTGAAATTTCGCTTTCATCTGCCTCGAGAAGCAATTACAATGTAACAGTGTGGAACCTCGGGGCTGATACTTGATGTTAATTTACACACAAATCGTGTGATGTGTATCGGCACTTGAATGCATTATAAGCGCCACAAGTCGGATTCTACAAGTGCGAGCGCCAGACGATGTGATGAGAATCGTTCATAGTAAACGTCAGAACTGAAGCTTGTTGAAGCATGCGCAGCTCAAATACGTTCAAACTGAGGCGAGAAAGGAATGATGTTGTTGAAATGACAGATTGGAATAGTAGCATCAGTTAAGGGGAGTCAACAAGCACCTCAGGGAATTTCTGGATTCACCAGATACTGTGCAACTAACACATCAATCCTGCCGGTTGCACCCACTCCATATAATGGTTCCAGAGTACTTCCCACCAATATCAGCGCTGAAGTAAAGAACAGGAAACTGCCTATGATCTGTAGAATTGCTGCTCGGGTGGAGATCATTGGCCAAGTTCATGTTGATAACAAAAAATAGAGACTGCATTGGTCGTACCAGTTTGCCAGGGACGACCACAGGCAAAACCCAGGATACGCGTGAAAAGCAGGTTCTTGTTATCATCACGCTGTGTCCGCGCTTCATGACCCCAGCCTACAACTCTCATGTTATGATCACTCATCATTGTCGAACTTGCACGAATGGAATGGTTCGTCTTTTAGAAAACCTGGTCCTTTGAAATAACAATATTCTGCGACGTAGTCCTGGGTCTGTCATTAGATTTGAAGACAAATTTGATTCCCTGGATGCACATGTTCAGTCGACTGCAGGAACGGCACAGTGGCAGACACGTCCGCGTAAGTACCCTCGTACTTACTATCTTTCACGAAGCATGCTGATCAGTCTTATTAAGCATAGCCTGCGTTGACGACATTTCAGGAAATCCTCTTTGGTCATGCAGTATAATTTCGCTTAGTTCATTAAATGTCAAAGCTCTCCAAGGCCTCGTCCCAAGGCCTCGTCATGTGATCAAGTAATTCGAAAGCTGTACTTAAGTCCCACCAACCTAATTTCTTGTTACCTTCTTGCTGGTGGCTTTTGGTGATCACAACAAGCAGCTCAAAGTGGCGCATAGGACTGCTGTGGCACACCTAAACATGACCAGTGATCGGTGAACCAATAATCGGTACACACGCATTCGCTTGTCAGCAATGTGCCAACTCTGAATTCAACATGGTAAGAGCAGTCGTAGTTACTTCCACCGATCCATGCATACCAACTTCCACAAGTAGACAACTTCGGTAGAGACAAACTCTGTTGTAGTTATTGCGAAACTTTCGCTGTTGCAAGGAGCAATGACTGTGACGTCTAGTGACATAATCCATTAAGTGGCATCCACCTCGTGAAACGCACATCAATATCCCAAATTCTAGAGTACTGTTTTGGCTCCACATATTCTTACAAAAGTACCCGTAAGAGAGCGTTGATGCTGCCCTCTTTACTACTCATTTATCTTCGAAAATGTAAAGCTTTTATGACATTTGTTTCAGCGAGAATCGGCAAAATGTACGTGCTGGAAACCAGTACATCAGCCTCTAAGAAAGTATTTAGGCGATGTTTGCAATTGGTTGCTGTCCTCGCCTGACAACGACCTGAAATTATCCCAGTAATTCGAAATCCCGAATAGGATGTCAAGATTAACCAGCTAGCTCAGGCTCCACTAGTTCATCAGCGAGTGTCTTCACATTTAGATGTCTGGGATGGTAACCAATCTGAACAAGACAAATAGAAGCAACGCGAAGACTGCTACTGCCTTTGCAGTGATTCTCATCCCTCTCAAACCCCAGAAACAAATTCGTCAACAATGCGGTGGTCGCCTAGAGAGCGGTAACTCGAGCAAACCCCTTGGCAAACACGAGGACCCCTGGATCGAGACTAACCAAGAAGAAAACAGGGTAGAAAGCATAGATTATCACTCCAATCACCCACAAATGGCAACCTTGTTGGAGCCCTAAAAAACGGTCCGAATGCCAGCTGAAATCCACACTGTAGCCCCCCCGTTCCTCGCAAACAAATGTCGCTGTGGCCAAAACTTCGGGGGTGAACAATGTGGACAGAACCATGAAGAGGTAAACCATGGCAAGGAGAGGTCCTCGAGCTCTCATAGAAACCTCCAGCTCAAATGGATAGGCGGATGCTTCACTAAAACATCATGCAAATCAACTGCAACATTTATGGCTTCGTAGCGAAAACCCATCAGGGAGACATCTAATCAGGAGGCGTGGACGTCTCACACCCAACCTCAATCCAAACCGAGCAAACATCTTCTTGGGTTTGGTGGGAATCCTGCAAGTTGAGGGCAACAATCCGCTCTCATCACACGGACCCTTCCCTACTCACGGCACATTCCCACAATCCGAGAAAAAAGTCTCAAACTCACGACGACGCAACATGCTCGCATCGCCGATCGTGAGCCTCCAGGAATCTCTCACTCATCGACACTCACTCAGCGGGATTGCATGCAATTCCCTCGCAACAGTGATCGCTAAACCTGGATTGCTGGAAAGCCAATCTCGACGATGCGAAGACTTCTTCGGACACTATGCGATTCGACATGAGCCGTCGATCTCCTGACCCCTATGAACGGTCTCGATGGAAGATAAATCCTGCTTTATAGAAAGTTCGAGGCAATGGGGTAGAAAGGGGAGGAAAGTCAAACCACAAAATAGATCAAGCCTTTGAACTCAAAAGGAAATAAATAATTAATTAAATATTAAAATGGGCGTTGCATATTAGTTATAGAAAAAGAGGTAGACCTTGGTTCATATTTACATGCAAGGCTTTAATGGGCTTTGCAATTTATTGCATTCATTAATGCACACTTACCAACAAATACCAATCACGTTTAATATGATAAAAACAATCTTTTTGGTTTGTAGGGCTCATGTTGGAGCAGGAGTTAGATATTACATTCTATGAGATAAAATGATATGTGGTTTATACTACTTTGGTTCTACTATTGTTGCAAGAGGGAAATGAAAAAATAATATCAACAATTAAGTAAATATTTCTCTTTTTCTTTTCTTTTTTTTCTTTTTCTTTGTGTGTATTCACATGAAAGCCAATGGTTTCAAATTAAAATATATCAATTGATAAATTAATTATACATAATAAAATAGTGCATAACATATGTATAATTAATTTATGTATAATTTTTCATGAAATCTATTATAATAATGCTAGATTTTAAAAAATAAAAGAATTAATAAATTAATAAGCATTTTTAATGTAATTTAATTGTAAGAACATCAATTTCATTTTAAAGCAAAAAGTTAATCCAATTAAAAAAAGAAAGATAGAATTAACTTTATTTTATACTAGTTCTTATCACTTCCATAAATTATTTTTCTTTTGAACCTAGATAATTTAAAAATATGCTTTAATATATTCAAGATACTTCCAAATTTTTACTTTTACTTTATTATTGCATTTGAAGTTCCTTAATTTGTCCAAACATATTTAAATAATTCTTGTTAAATAAAATTGTGTTGTGTCACGGACATACTCATGTAAGCTAGTAATTACATATACAAATAGGTGGAAGTAAATAAAAGTAGGTAAAAGTAAGTTAATTCTATAGTATTTAATATAGAAGCTTCCTAGAAGCTTCATAGATATTCCTTTGACTTCATAGGTGTCTTTAATTGACTTTTTGGATTAGAAACGTAGTCAACAAGTAGGCCATGTGCCACACATGTTGTTAGCTTGAAGATCAAGGTAACTATGTGGCCCATAAGTAGAAAAACTTGCCTTGTAAGTCAAGGCATGTGTCGTACAAAGTCAACACATATTCGAGGTCCTATAGAATGCCGCCATGTAGCTCTTAGTTAGATAGTATATATAGAGACAAGAGTGAAGCCTTCTTCACTCTTGTCAACTCCTTTCTTGCTTCCAGTCTAGTTTCAAGGGTCTCCAGTTTTCTTATCTTTTGGCAATAGCCATTCCAGTTTCTCTTTCAATATACATACTTGGTTATTTATATTTTATTACCTTTCTTTGAGTGAAGGCTCACTTGTTTGAATTGCTTTTCTCATCGAGTTCTTGTCCTTGACAGATTGACAAGAGTACACCTACAATATCAGAGCTTTGTCTAATCTTGATTAAGAGTGGATTACCCCTTTTTCTTAATAAAATATAAGCATATTAGAAGTTGCAGATTACCCTCTTCTAAACTGATATTGTCCTTAGTATTTTCTTTGTTCTCAAGTCCTCTATTCTATTTGTCTTGAGTGATATTAAACATCTTCTCTTTTCTAAGTGTTATCATGGCAGAACTTATTGAAATGAAGAATACAATGGCACAAAGGCAAGAGCAATTGAGGGAGTTAATGCTTGCGATGCATCAACTCAATTTACAACCACAAGGAGCAACAAGATTGGTAGGAAGTGAAGATATAGAAATGGTTGGAGCTGCTTTAACATCTGCACCAAACCATATCTTTTCTCCTATGGTGGAACGTCCTTCCAGTGTTAGAGAACCAAGAATTGCCCTACCCGAGAAGTTTGATGGCACTAGATCCAAGTTTCGAGGATTTATCAATCAAGTGCAACTTGTGATTGAACTTCAACCTCAAAGCTATCCAACTCCAGGATCACAAGTTAGATTCATTGGTATGCTTCTTTCAGGTTCAGCATTATCATGGTTTTCATCTTTTCTTGAACGACGAGATCCAATATTGGATAATCTAGAGGCTTTTCTGGTAGAGTTTTGATCCATGTATGAAGAACATGATGCAATTTGTGTTGCAACCAATAAGATTCATATTTTACGACAAGGCAATCGATCAGTAACATTGTATGCTTTACAATTTTGACAACTTGCAACTAACATCAAGTAGGATGATGTTGCACTTATTAGGCAATTTTTCTACGGATTACAATATGAGGTAAAAAAATTAATGCTCAACTTACCTGATCCTCAAACATTGAGTCAGGCAATTGACTTTGCTGTGAAGTGCGACAATCGCCTTTTTGAATTTTGATCTGAGAACCGTACAAGTGGACCTCAACGTTACTATAATTCAATGGCAACACCAATCCGTCTTAAACACATATATTCAAAAGTAGAGGATATGCAAAATGATGTAGAACGTTTTAAACCTCTTACTGAGTAAAAAAAGACTTGTCGTCGTCAAGAAGGATTATGTTTATATTGTGGAGAATCAAAGCACACTGCTCAACATTGTCCAAAGAAATGACGCAATCACAAAATAAAGAGTATGGCTGTGAAAGAAGATAATATGTCGAAAAACGAGTTTGTCTAGCTACAATAGGGACCGTGCGGTTGGAACCTTGCACAACATCCAGTAAAGGTCCTATTCTCTCCTCACAGCCCTCTCCTTGTTTTACATTAAATGTTATTTTAGGACCTAAATATTACAAAGCCTCTGCCTTGTTAGATTCAAGAGCCTCAGCATGTTTCTTAGATGAAGAATTTACTAAAAGACATAGCATATCTTTAATAAAGAAAACTAAACCTGTTCATGTAGAAGTCATAGATGGTCGTCCATTGTCTTCTGGAGATATTACTCACGAAACACTTCCTATAGAAGTAATAATCAATGGTCATAATAGCTTTGTAGTATTTATTATCATTAGATCTCCCTCTAATCCAATCATTTTAGGTTTATTGTGGTTAGAAAAATACAACCCTCAAATAGATTGGGTTTCTTGACTCTTATTTTCTCTAAAAGTATAACTAACAATGTAGTTAATCAAGTAGATAGTCATAAGTCCAATTCAATTAAATCCGTATTTATAGGTGCAAAAGCTTTCTTGCATAATGCTATGAAAGAATCACCATATATTATTTATGCCACACCTATTTCTAATGGTGGAAAGAATTCAAGTGGTATTCCAAGCCAATATCAAGAATTTCAAGATGTATTCAAAAAAAAGAATGTGGATACACTCCTGAAACATCGATCCTATGATTGCTCAATTGACCTTCAAGAAGGAGCACAACCGCCATTCGGACCAATCTACAGTTTATCACAAAATGAGTTGACTGAACTCAAGGAATATATTGAAGAAAATCTAGCCAAGAATTTCATATGCCATTCTAAATCTTCGGCAGGAGCTCCAATTTTATTTGTGAAGAAAAAAGATGGATCATTACGGATGTGTGTTGATTATCGAGGACTCAACAAGATTACCATCAAGAACATGTATCTACTAACTTTAATATCTGGACTTCTTGATTAGCTGAATCAAGCTAAGATCTATACAAAAATAGAACTCCGAGGAGCATACAATCTAGTATGCATCAAAGAAGGAGATGAATAGAAGTCTACGTTTCAAACTAGGTATGAACATTTTGAATATAACGTGATGCCTTTTGGACTTACAAATGCACCAACTTTTCAACATCTAATGAATGATGTTTTTTGAGAATTTTTGGACAATTTTGTGGTATGTTATCTAGACGACATCTTGATCTATTCTAAGAATCTAAAAGAAGATGAACTTCATGTTCATCGTGTATTGCAAAAATTAAGACATGCAAGTCTCTATGCCAAGATAGAAAAGTGTATATTCTACACTACTCAAGTCGATTTCTTAGGTTACATCATTTCAAATGATAGACTTATGATGGATCCTAAGAAAGTTCAAACTATTATAGATTGGAAGATTCCAAAAACGATAAGAGATGTCTAATGCTTTTTAGGATTTGCCAACTACTATCGGATCTTCATCAAGGATTTCTCTCGAGTTGTAGCTCTACTTACACGCTTGACTTATAAATACAAATTTCAATGGAATCAAAAAGTGGAAGTTGCTTTTGAATCTTTGAAGACAACGTTTGTTTCTGTACCAATCTTGTATCATGTTGATTCTTCTAAAGCATTCTTTATAGAAATAGATGCATTAGACTTTGCTCTGTGTGTGGTTTTATCAGAAATGGGAACAGATGACAAACTTCATCCAGTAGCCTTTCATTCAAGAAAATTCTCAGTAGCAGAAATCAATTATGAGATCCATGACAAAAAACTTCTTGCAATCATGGATTCTTTTCAAGAATGGTGTCATTATCTAGAAGGTGCTTCCAGTCAGGTCACCCTGTATACAAATCAAAAGAACCTCGAGTATTTTATGTCAACACGCATATTAAATCGTCGTCAAGCTCGTTGGAGCATGTCTTTATCAAGATTCGAGTTCATCATCACTTATTGGCCAGAAAAATAACAAGGTTTGTCCGATGCCTTGTTTAGACATTCTTATCTTGCACCAAAAGAAGGAGATGCAGCTTTTGAGCAATAAAGAACAGTCTTCTTGAAGCCGGAGCAATTTTATCTTCGAGCAATAAAATCAACATTAACTGTTGATTTAACTTTTTTTAAGCAAGTCCAATTAAGTATGTCTTCAAACCCTCTTGTTCATGATATCAAGAATAATTCTTCTAAATCTCATGATCACTCTAAATTTGAATTCAAGAACAACTTACTCAATTTTGAAGGACGTCTATATGTTCTAGAAGGAGAAGCATGTTTATGTATTCTTCAAGCTCGTCACGACTTTCCAGCAGCAAGACATTTTAGGTACAATAAAACTTTGCAACTAATATCTAGGGATTTTTGGTGGCCACAAATGTAGAAAGCAGTTAAAGATTTTGTACAACCTAGTGATGTTTGCTTGAGATCAAAATCTCCTTGTCATCGATCTATTGGACTTCTTCAGCCATTATCCATTCCAGAACAACCATGGTCTTTTGTATTTATAGACTCCATCACGGATCTTCCAATCTCTGGTTCTTATGACTCTATATTCATGATAGTAGATCGTTTTACTAAGATGGCACATTTTGTACCATATACAAAATCTATCATAGGTGAAAAAATAGCTAAGCTCTTTCTTGACAATATCTATCGCTATCATGGATTACCCAAGGATATTATATTAGATAGAAGAACTCAATTTGTATCAAGATTTCCGCGGACTCCTTTTAAGATTCTAAAAGTGGATATAAAACTATCTTCAGCATTCCATCCTCAAATTGATGGACGAACAGAGCATGTTAATCAAGTTTTGGAGCAATATTTAAGATGTATCATTAACTACCAACAAGATTATTGGACAACTCTTTTGCCATTGGCAGAGTTTGCTTACAATAACACGGTACATTCTTCTACAAAACAAACACCTTTTTTTGCTAATTATGGTTATCATCCATGACTTGATACTTTTGACTTTTCAAAAGTTGATAATCCTGCTGCGAAAGATTTGGTGATTCATTTATCAGAGCTACATGCAACGATGAAGGCGCAGTTAAAAGAGGCTCAAGAATAACAAAAGGACAATGCTGATGTCTATCGAAAGGAACAACCACCATTCCTCTTGGGTGATAAGGTATGGCTACTTTGTCACAATATCAAGACCACTCGTCCTTGTGACAAGTTGGACTATCGAAGACTTGGACCATTTTCTATTTTTGTACAAATCAATCCAGTTGCATATCGTTTACATCTACCGGAGTCAATGAAAATCCATCTAATATTCCACATGTCTCTTCTTAAACCATACAAGATAGTGGACATACCAAAAAGACGACAAGCTCCACCTCCTCCTATAGACGTGAATAATAATGAAGAGTTTGAAGTAGAAGAAGTCTTAGATTCAAGGCAGTGTTGAAATAAATAAGAATATCTTGTCCATTGGCGTGGATATGATATTAGTGAATGCACATGAGAGCCAATAAAGAATCTTGTAAATGCAACAAAGGTGGTGGAGGCTTTTCATCGACGACATCCATCAAAATCAAGATGAAAACTTTTTTTATAAAAAAAACAACATCTAGACAAGATAACATTCTACTTTCAATCTTTGTTCGTAGCTTCTTTGTAGTTGTGACGCTCAGGAGATGGAAAATCAATAACTAGTGGATTCGACTCAAGAACCTTCATTTGTTGACCTACTAGACGAGACATTACGATTGTCACAACCTTCAAGACGACGCAATGGAGATGAAGATCTTCAAGAACGACATGTTCTTCCTCGAATAGATGGCAAGATATAATGCATTTGGTATCACGATTTGGGAAGGGACTCCCGATGTTTGGTGATTTTGCTAGAGGTAGGAACAACTCCTGATGGTGTTCCAAATGTTCTATTCGAAGGAAGTTATGAAGGCCTCAACAATGATCAAATAATTGGGTGGTATTCCCACCCTGATATGGGACACTACCGATGGTTAAGAGGGCCTATCAATCATCTTCGAAGAGAACAAAGATCAGAGTATGTGGCGAATACAATTCGTCGCATCATTGATTTCCTCAACATATGATGACCACTACTCATGGAACTCGTCTCTAGAAGAGAGGATAATGTCACGGACATACTCATGTAAGCTAGTAATTACATATACAAATAGGTGGATGTAAATAAAAGTAGGTAAAAGTAAGTTAATTCTATAGTATTTAATATAGAAGCTTCCTAGAAGCTTCATAGACGCTGCTTTGACTTCATAAGTATCTTTAATTGACTTTTTGGATTAGAAACGTGGTCAATAAGTTGGCCATGTGCCACACATGTTGTTAACTTGAAGATGAAGCTAACTATGTGGCCCACACGTAGAAAAACTTGCCTTGTAAGTCAAGGCATGTGTCGTACAAAGTCAACACATATTGGAGGTCCTATAGAACGTCGCCACGTAGCTCTTAGTTAGATAGTATATATAGAGACAAGAGTGAAGCCTTCTTCACTCTTGTCAACTTCTTTCTTGCTTCTAGTCTAGTTTCAAGGGTCTCTAGTTTTCTTGTCTTTTGGCAATAGCCATTCTAGTTTCTCTTTCAATATACATACTCAGTTATTTATATTTTGTTATCTTTCTTTGAGTGAAGGCTCACTTGTCTGAATTACTTTTTTCATCGAGTTCTTGTCCTTGCCTTGTTGTTAACTAAATTCTCTTGTTTCTTGTTAATAAACATCCACTTATATTTGTTTTATATTTTCTTATATACATATATCAGTAAAATAAATATGGATTTCTTTAATCATCTAATATGGTAAAGATTATTCTTCAAAAATAGCTACAATTCTAACTTTTAAAATATTATTCTCAATAAAAATTAAATTACGTCTTTTTATTAAAAGGTGTTCTAACACAACACCTTGATCATATATATTCACTGTAATTGCTCAGATTTTTGGTATGTCAATGCAATTAATATATAAATATTTTGATTTCATAATTTATGCAAAAGCATTGATCTCCTTAGACTTTATGTACTTTGAATATATCCATATTAACAAAAACATGCATATTTTTTTAGTTAAGAAATTTCTGTTTTTAGATTGAAAAAGATATAATTTTTGATAAAATTATTCCATGACTTTTCTTTCAATTTGATTAAATGGATGTTAAAGAGAAGTGCTGAGATCTACTTTAAGTAAGATCATTTATTGGAATAATTTCAAATACTATTTTAGTAATTTGTTTTATTATTTATTACAAGATCATAATAAAATAAAATAAAACAATAATGTATAGAAAACAACTTTTAAAGATAATATCTCAACCTTCAATACCTTACTTGATAATTCTTTAATAATATCAAAATTTACCAACTCATACATGGCTTGTTACTATTTTGGTATAACATACTAAAATAATATATGAATGAAGATATATATAGTTTTTTTGAATGCAAGTAGTATAGATTTACCATTTGTCAAAGGTTTTTAGAACCACAGATTTACCACAAAGCTTGACTATTTACATAACTCTATTTGTTATGACTTTTTCTAAGCAAAAAATATCTCTTATATGTCTATATATATATATATATATATATATATTGATATTTGTGGTAATATCTTAACCCATGCAATATATTCCTCAAAAAATCTTCAAATCAACCTTGCCAGGTGTTTTACAAGTCACACCAAGACTAGCCTAAGAAATATGCCATTAGTCTTTAGCAAAATGCAAAAACATTACATGAATCAATGTCAATGTGGAGACATAAGGATAGAGTCTTAAAGATAATTTTAAACCTAAGGATTATTTGGAATGGCTCGACAGACTAAACTTCTGACAAAGCCAGCTTGTATAGACAATGGGCTTGTAGATTAATGCATTTGTAAGTCAAAAGTTTCAGGATTTTTAGCTACTCAAACAAAGAAATCATTGTACACGGCTTCCCTTGCCATATTCCAACTCACCACAGGAATAAAAAAATAAAAAAAAGGTATTTTTTTCTCATATCAACTCTTGCAGAATGCAACAACTATATTTAATTACAGTAAAGTGACACAATGTCGTAGTTCAGAAACCTTCAAACTGCATAATTGTCTCGATCATCCAGAACAAAAGAAAGCATATTAACACAACCACCATTCAACTCTCCAAAAACATGGATTCTAACCGGAAGTCTTTTACCAAGTCCAAACCTGAGTGTGTGTGTGTGTGTGTGTGTGTGGGGGTATGTTTGTTGTTTTTCTGTTGTGGGCGTTAACCGCTGTGTTTCTTTTCCATGGCATGGGACCAGGGCAGGGGAGCTTGCCTCGGAGCCATAATTGACTTTTTCCGTTATCACCACAGCGATGCCAGACGGTGATAGACCTCGTGCTACGCCATTGTTAGAGCGGCGAACAGCAGCGAGGCGGACCGAACCTGCAAAGAACCTGACACGTGAGCTCGGGGCATAACAGAAAAAGAAGGGAAATACGCTGTAGCCGGACCAGTTAGCACCAGAGGATACACTTTGGAAGGCTTGACCTGCAGTGGTGGTGGTGTCATCAGTGCGCTCTACCCATTCCCATTCGAAATAATGTTTCTGCAGTTTTGGTTTTTCTTTTACGTGCTTATTTTATTGCATGCAGGTTGCTGAAAGTTGCGCCGATAACAGCTCCACGAAGACCGCGGAACCAATGCGGGGAGGGAGCACAGCGGATGGGCAATCGCGCGACTGGGCAGAATCGCATGCATTGATTGGGAGTGCGGATCCAAAATTAGTGTGGGGTTGAAATGGCACGCGGTTTTCCGAAATTGGGCATGATGCAGTCTTGTTTCTTTTGTCTTTTTGTTTTTGTATTTCCGCCTTCGTTTCCCTCAGAAGTGGTGATCTGAATGCTATTTGTGGCGCACCCTCCAAGTTGCTTTTGGGCTTCCAGCTGCGTGAACCTCAAAGTAGGGATGCGGGATTTCCCGGGTTTTCTTTGCGTCACGGCCCCTCGGCATTCTCCCAACATTCAGCGCTGGACTCGAGTGGCTGTGTTGGTGAGGGGGTGCATTGAAGATCTTAGCTGGAGGGAAATGAAGCTTGGGTTTCGGACTCTGGATGCTGTCGCTGCTGCGGAATCAGTGTATGCGTCACAGGCTGCTTGACGTCTCCCAGCAGCAAGGCAGCTTTGTGCTGAGATTTTGGTCTGTGAAAGACTTGTGGATGCCAGGTAAGTAGCCTGCCTGGTGATGGATCGGGAATGCTCGGTCGAACAGGGACGCAAGGTGACTGTCTAGCGCAGGATCCGATAGTTTGTCACTCCATTTGGAACTTAGTTGTTCGCTTTAGCTTCGTGGTCCTTATAGTATCGACGCATTAGATTCAACGGTTCTTCACTTCGTTTGGCCACATTCCTGTATCTGCACTCGCGAAAGGTAGCTTCCAAATAGAACCAATTTCAAGCAGAACCTCGACAGTTAGATCGAGTTCGTGATTAAATGGTGGGGACTGGCATGGCTTTACACACACAGTCACATTCCATGCACTTTTTTCTTCTCGGATGTCTAATGGTTGAAAACTAGGCTATTCGAGATTGGAATACAACGCTTTCTTCGAACTTCACGGGAGGAGGCCGGAAATGAGAAGCGAGCAACAAGCTGCGGTTTGAGGATTTTGACGGAGTCTTCACGCTCATTAAAAAACGCATGTACAACACGTTTGGGTATCGCTCTTAACAAGTGACGGTGGCGCAGGTTACAGAGCCGTGCAACATGGTTTCTCGGTGAAGAAGCAAGCGACTGAGATGTAGAAGCTTCGCAACGACGATTATCAAGGGTGATGTTTTCACCAGGATTGGTTCTGCCCAGGGGTTGACTTTCAAGCGAATGCAGATTTAGGGGTTCTAAATGGTGGAATGGGACACAGCTAAGGAACTGCGCGTTTTTGTTCTTAGTGGCAGTTCACGTTGAGTTCCTACGCAAATACCAAGGCTGTGCAGATTCTTTCCCGTCTCGTCCACAGTTCTACGTACAATTGTACCATGCTGGTGAAAGCATTGTAACATCGTAGTGAGAAATTGAGAAGAGTAGAGAGATCCCTAGAACCAGATACAGGTCATCCAGAATGGTTCGAGCCTTTGCAACCACAAGCGGTTACATGAAGGCAGCTGCAAATGGTCCTGTAGCAGCGCCTGGTGTGGCTCCGTCAGGGCAAGGTCTTCCACCCACTGCCTTGACACCACCAGCTCCTCCTCCCCTCGGGAATGGTGTATCGCCTCCGGCACCTGGGATTGTATCGCCTCCGGCACCTGGGATTGTATCGCCTCCGGCACCTGGGATTGTATCGCCTCCGGCACCTGGGATTGTATCGCCTCCGGCACCTGGGATTGTACCTCCTCCTGCGCCCGGGGCTACATCTCCTCCTGCTCCTGTTCCTTCATCGCCACTGCTGACATCTCCACCTCCTGCTCTGTCTCCACCATTGTTACCCCCAGTATATGCTCCTCCTCCTCTGCCTACCCCACCCCCAGCTATACCTCCAGCAGTGCCCCCGCCTGTTCCAGTTCCAGTAGCTACACCTCCACCTATCTTACCGCCCCCGCCAGTGCAAGCCCCTCCCCCAATTTTGCCACCAGTGGCTCCGCCAATTCAATCACCTCCTCCAACTGCGACACCCCCTCCAAGTAATGCTAGTCCTCCTTCTAAAGCCCCTCCTCCGCCATGGTCAACTCCACCTTCAGTTTCACCCCCGGCCCCTCCACCAAAAAACGCTCCGCCCCCAACAGTGCCTCCTCCAAAAGCGCCACCATCGCAAGCTCCTACTCTGACGATTCCTACGATTCCTGACCTTTCCCCTCCCCCTCCTGTGTTCATCACCCAAGGATCTCCACCTGCTCCTGGGCCGCCACCTTCATCAGAGGGAACCAGTTCCACCCTGGTCGTTGGTGGGGCAGTCGGGGCAGTTGCGGTTCTTTTCGTTGCAATTTGTGTTGTGGTTTGCTGTTGTAGGAAGAAGAGGAAGTCAGCTATAAGTGATGATGGATTCTCATACAAGGGTTCATCCATTGCCACGATGCCTCTTACGGGTGCGCAATTCAAAAGTTCAGATGCTCCATCCGATGCATGGGGTATACATTCTGCCAGCAGCACTGGTACTGGATCTGACATTCCTCCACCGCCTTCGGGCTCAGACAAAATGGGCAACTCGAGATCCTACTTCACTTACAACGAACTTGCTGTCGCGACCGACAACTTCTCAAAGGACAACCTACTCGGTGAAGGTGGATTTGGCCGTGTTTACAAAGGGATACTGCCTAATGGGACAGTTGTTGCTGTGAAGCAGCTGACTGTCGGTGGAGGTCAGGGCGAGCGCGAGTTTCGGGCTGAAGTTGAAGTTATCAGCAGGGTGCATCATCGCCACTTGGTCTCACTGGTTGGGTATTGTGTGGCTGATCGACAGCGACTGCTTGTGTACGAATTTGTACCGAATGGTACCTTAGAGAACAATTTGCATAGTAAGTACCTCATTTTATTTTATTTTTCACTCTTGAAGCTCCGTGGATTACATTTCAGACGTGATTGCTCTCTAACTTATATTGATATACTTGATCCAATTTGAGAATCTAATCCCCAAATTTTTTTTGCAGATACTGACATGCCCATTATGGAGTGGAGTACAAGGCTGAAGATTGGTCTTGGATGTGCTCGGGGTCTTGCATATCTACACGAGGATTGCCACCCTAAAATCATACACAGAGACATCAAATCCTCCAATATTCTTCTCGAGGAGAATTTTGAAGCTAAGGTATGTTTCTGGTGACGGCACTCCGTCAGGTACATTTAATTACAACTTGACTTCTAGAACGTCTTAAGCTAACCTGAGCTGTTGTGGACGTGTACCAGGTCGCAGATTTTGGGTTAGCAAAGCTTTCCTCTGACACTAACACCCACGTATCGACTAGAGTGATGGGAACATTCGGTTATTTGGCCCCAGAGTATGCTGCTAGTGGGAAGCTCACAGACAGATCAGATGTTTTCTCGTTCGGCGTTGTCCTGTTGGAATTGGTAACCGGGAGAAGGCCGATAGACATGAGCCAAGAAGCAGGATTTGAGAGTTTGGTGGAATGGGCAAGACCTGTGGCGATGCGCATTCTTGAAGATGGACACCTCGAGGATCTCGTGGACCCTAACTTGGACGGCAACTATGACCGCGACGAAATGTTTCGTGTCATCGAAACTGCAGCTGCGTGTGTGCGACATTCTGCTGTCAAGCGTCCAAGGATGGCACAGGTATGGGGACCAAACCGACACTGCTTTCATTACACATCAGTACACATCTTAGGCCGCTTGTAATCTGAGCAATCACAATCTCTGTTTCATTGTTTGATTCGCCAGTCACCTATGTGAAGCTCGGTGTGGGCTTGCCTGTTGATTTCCAGGTTGTGCGAGCACTTGAAAGTGAAGACAGAGCAGGTCTTTACCAGGGAATGAAACCTGGGCAGAGCATGGATAGTGATTCTCAGTATGGCAGTGAGTACGGTGGGACCAGCAGATATGGAGGTGATAGTGGCGAGTTTGATCAGAATGATCACAGTTCCAATTCGGGGCCTCGTCCATTTCACAAGCAAGGCGCCAACCATCTGCCGAGGATTGAAAGCGCTGAACACTCGATTGCTGAAGAACCTGATGATCAGACGATGGAGTACGTTAGGAGTGAATCCTCGGGAATCCACGCCTTCAAGCCACCTGTGTTTGGCACCCAACAATTCCATCCCCCGAAATTCACAAGTGGTGAATACGATCCAGATAAGGAGAGTTCTGACTTTCCTGGTGCGTACAGAAGCAGTAGCAAGAAAGTCTCTTCATATGCTCCCCCGAGGTCTGGCCTTCCCAATAATGGTATGAGTGGGTTTATGGGCGCCCCACCCCCTCCACCTGGTCGCTACAGCAAACCTGTCAATCTCGGTGGAGAGGACTACGTGCCAATTGGCAAGACAGTCAGCTTCGCACCCAACGTTGAGGATAAGAAGTTCTAAGACCCTTGCTCCTCTGTACAATAGCGTGTCATCGCGAATAAGACTGGGGCACTTCAGCTGGTTAATCCTTAGAGATTGGTCGTGTACAGCCTAGCGGAAGTGATGAGTAGCCTTCAACTTGGATTTTTTTTGGGTTCGGCCACATTCAGTTCAGGAGAGAGACACCAGCTGACTGTCGACGACTAGCTCTATAAGCTACTACTACCCGTTCCTAGGGGGGTCGGAATAGGTGTGGGTAGCGGCAGGGTAATAGGTGCTCTTGAAGGCCTGTCTGATCGTAGGAGCTGAAACTCTACATCAACTACTTCTCGCACGCCGTTCAGCAGAGGTAACGAAGGCGACGAACGCCAGCCCCGGTTTGTCGACATGCTGCGTCAATCCAGGAATTTTCTACACCCTTGAGCAGACTCTCCTCTTGCCGACCTGCACTGGCGTACCACATCGACTCGTATTTAACGCAGAGATCCAACCCTGATGCTGCTCACCTATGTTCTATCATACATCAGGAAGGCGATGGGGGTATGACTGGCAATTGAGGGACATGTTTAAGGTGGGACAGCTATGGGGAGTCCCGAGCTTCTACATGCTACTCTGGTACCTCCAAGCGGTCATTCCAATCCTTATGATACAATAAATCAGGTGTTGGTTAACGGTGAGGGTGGCATTCAACATCAAGTTCGAAATGGTTCTGTTGAAGAGATTATTGACGGCAACTCAGTAGACGATTACCTCGCAAATTACACACTAGGCTCTACTAATTGCAGGCACTAGTGGAGTGTTCAACCTCGATGTTAGATGATGTCGGAGATGCTCGATGTATTCCTGTTGTATCACGTATGAGTATCTGGCTTTTCTAGCATGTTTTCCTTTCTTGTTGCGGTATATGAACGTCTGTTGCTGCCTGTTATACTTATAGTTTGAATTCCACAACGAAACATACATCTTACCGAGAACATCCCACTTGGTTGAAAAATTCGTATATAGTCTTTCTTTGGATTATTGAGATGTTGATAACATTTTACTTCGAATAATGTGTTCCTGTAGCCTAGTGGATTTTTTGCAGGTCACTTGTAGCATATATGATATATTGGAGATTAAAATTGTGTAAGATGGTGGACATGCCTGTCTTTTCAAAGTTTTGAAAGACAATAAACTTTGGGAAATTGAAAGAAATAGATTAATATATGATGTTGTTAAGTTGCAGTAGTCAGTTTTGGTTTTTTTGTAACTGAATGGCGCGTTGAGATTGAAAAATAAAAGTCAAATGTTAAAATGATTCATACAAATTGTTCTATTATTTTAATTTTAATTTTTTTTTAGTAATGATTAATGATTTAGTACTTCAGATAAATGATACAGGACTTACAATAGTTATTAACAGTAGTAGTTATTTACAATAATAGTTATTACCATAATTCAACCTCAATAATAGTTATTTACACCACCTGGTTTAAATTTCGTAGAAACTAGCTTGCCTAATGGTCAATACAACCTTAAGTAACCTTTATTTATATGCAAAACTATCAATTAGCAACATCAATCTAATCAAATCTACTCTAACAATTTTCTAAAAAACCAGTTGAGTGACAAAATGCATTAACTTAAATTTGAACCTTGAGTTCTAAACAATACAAATAGGATGACCTCTTAACTTTTGACCTTATAATATTGTCTTCTCAAGAATAAACACCATGGTTATCAACTTCAGGCACACAATCCGACTAGTCACAATATTGCCTTTCTGGACAACCATGTGAATTTCCTAAGCTATTAAGCTTAAAACACAAACATAAACACAATGAAAAAACTCATTATTTAAGAAAGAAGATATATTCATTTAAAAAATTCCCAACCCTTTCTGGTTAATGATATCTCTGAAACTTAAGTGTATTTTTCCTAATGGGATTACCTAACTAATTAGTATTATAGTTGTTTCAACTATAATCAAATGCTAATAACCTATTTGGCATGAACTAAATTACTAGCAACCTACTAGTAATCTAAGTGGAGACTAATTAAACACATTAGGCACTAAAACTAAGACTTTAAAAATATCATATCTATTGATAAGGCTATATGATATTTTCAAACTAATACATATATATATATATATATATATATATATATATATATATATAGAATATAAGTATTATTAAACGAATTTATTTTAGATCAAATTTTAAACCTTCAATACACATATTTTAGAATTATTATATAATTAAATTCTTATATAAAATTTATAATAAAATATGATGTTTTTGAAACATATTTTTTAAATTTTAAATATTCATAAATTTACCTATTTTAAGTATATTTTTTATAAATTAAAAAATCTAATATGTTTATGTATTTGTATATATATATATATATATATATATATATATAATTTTATTCTTTTAATTAAAATGTATAATTTATTCAATAGTTTAACTATTTAAAAAAAGATTGGAAGTATTTTTACAACTAGTTACTTGAAACAAAACATACTGAATAAGTAGATATCATCAGCTAAAATGATCTATTTTTTTTAAAGGGAAGGTATTCTGAAATAAATTACAAATTTTTTTAAAAAAATGATAGAAATAATGAGTTATTGAATATGTTAATTTTTAAAATATTAATAGTGTGTTTAATATTATTAGAATTCATGTGCTATAATATTATTATCATATTTGATTTTGTATATATTCCCATAATAGTAAGATTATTATTTTTCAATCTCATTCAAGTAGATTCATTGAAATATGTACAACTTAGACTATTTTAATGTAAGAAAAATTTAAAAATATTAATATAAATATAATATTAAATTAAAAAGAATTATAAAATGCACAATTAGCATTTTTAAAAAAGCCACATTTTTTATGTTTCAAAGTCTTATTTAGACCTATTACATTACCATCCATAAATAGAATCATAGGATAAAGATCTTTTGCTTAATTATCCTTCAATAATGTTATCATAATTTCTTTATTTTAAATAATTTAAATTTTAAAGAAATATAAAAACTATATTAATATTACTAATCTATTATCTAGTATTATCTATTATCTATTATTATCTAGTATTATTATCTAGTATTATCTAGATGAGAATTATTATTATTATCATTATTATCCAGTATTATCTATTATCTAGTATTAGTGGCTCAATCTAATTTATTTATTTATTTGTTAATCAATCTCACCTTAGTTTTAGCATTTGAATCTAAAAAGCATAATAAAACCATTGAAGAATAGGAACACAAGACTTTTAAATCTTATCAAAATAAATGCAAACTTAGGCTTGATATTTAATAAAATATATACATTAGAATAATTAAAATATACATCTAGTTAATTAGTCTTTAGAAAAGACATTGCTAATACAATTGCAAAAAAGAATAAACATGACGATAATATAGAATAAATTGAGCTTTTGTAGATGTAATCTAGTTCTTTCACAATATTTAAAAAGGCTCACTAATAGAAAAGTTAATTTTAAAAAATATAAGATAAATTAAATTATTTTAATTAATTTTTAAGAAAAACTTTCAATAGAGTTTATTAGAAGTTTTGGATGTCTGGTATTTTAATATTTAAATTGTATTCTTAAAAATGTTGTTAAAGTAGTAAAATAAGAGATTAATTCTTTAAAATGATCCATGATTATTCTAAAAATTTGTAGATGTTAAATCCTTATATATTTCTTTAGAATATTCTTTTTTTCAATATAGAATGAATATATATATATATATATATATATATTTTTAAGATAAATAGATCTTTTTAGCATATTTCAAACTAAATACATAAAAATTGTAAAAAAATATCTATTGTTTAATTCTTCTAGATTATCTTATGGTATTTGCATCATAAGAGAGTAGAATTTGAACTTTGATGCTTTTATCTTAAGTGTTGTATATTTCTTAATTCAAATCTTAATCCTAAAATCTATATTTTAGACTCAATATCTAAATCTTAGATTTTCATATTATATTAATAAATCTATTATAAATTCTCTAAAATATATAATATAAAACATATGTATCATAAAACTTTTATACAATTAAATTATATATTTAAAATTAAAAAACATGCTTCCTATAAATACCACATAGCTTATATATCACATTGGCACATGCCACATTAGACCACATGTCACATTATATTTGAATGTTATAAGGACCAAAACATGAGACTTTTAATCTCAATACAAAAATTTCTCTACAAAAATAAGAAAAGAAAATCAAAAATATTGAAATCATTCTATATATTTTTTTTAAATAGCATATAATTTAGAGGACAAAAATTTGCCAAACTATTACCAATCTAAAAATGATTAGGTCTATAGAACTCCATATTATTACTACAACCTATTAAACCACCAAAAAGAAAAGTCCTCTTAGACAATAAGCATCCATTTTATGAAATCCCAAAGTTACTTAATAAGGTACAACTAGTAGTAGACTCTAAGGGCTTTATTTTGGTCTAAGGCAAATACAACTTAATAGATGAGCCAAGCAAGACACTCTAATTACAATAATTGCTATGGATTATTAAAAAAATTTAGAGGTCAATTAAAGCATACCAATCTTCACCTAAAATAGTTTTATGATAGACCAATAACCTCCATTAAGTCTCTTTTATAATCAAATCAAAGCTATATTGCAAAAAAATTATTCTTCAATAGCACACCCACATAACAAAGTCTATGATAATAGTATCATTTTGAAGTATCTAATACAAGTCATTTGCCTTTAAATCTATCAATTATTTAAGGATAACAAAGCTACATCACACAAAACCAATCACCTACTTAAGTGACTAATGCTTCTAATACAAATTCTTGTTATAAATGCAAAACTAATCTTTCTATTCACATGCCACATTTGGCTAGACTGGTACCACATTAGCTGCAAAAGCTCAAAGCACAACTCATTTGTTATTCAGCTCATAAAAACCTCACCACCTTTATTATTGTAATTTAGCTTATTAATTACATCTAATACAAAAACATTATCTTCAGTAATAGAAGAATTTAAACAATTAGTCTTTGAGTTCTTTGATAATGCAAAAGACAATTTATTAAGTTGAATGTATCTTAGATTCTACATTTAGAATTAATTCTAAGCTTTAAATTATAGCTTGATCTTTAATGTGTATTAACTAAATGAAACAAGAATTGAAAATTAAAAATCCATTTATCCATATTTACTCCCAATAAAAAATGGTCATTGAATATTACGAAAAAAAATTATCTCATCGAATGTGGATGATTGTGAGCTTGAACTGAATATGGTTTCGCCAGAATGTAAATTCAACTTGAACTTATTGATTGATAATGACTTTTAAAAACATATTTTAAAACTTACTGAATATGAAAATTTGGATATTGAAATGCCCAAAAATGATATTTGTAAGTATAAAAGTAACTCCCATGAATAACCCACTCAAATAATTATGTTATTTTGAAACCATTGTGCTTAATTAGAAAATGGCAGTTGCTTAGAATTGCAGTAAATTTTAGCATAAACCTTTGCAGTTTATTATAATTTTGTAATAATTGATTAATTTTCAAATATTAGTTAGTATTAAATTTATTACTATCAAGGAAAACTTGGTTAAAACGAACCTTAAGAAAAAATAAGATTTCAATTATTAAAATCAATAAATACTAACTTTCTACAGAATCCTAGTCCATTGGTGTATTTTAATATGTGGTTACTGCACCTAATATGACAAGAAAAATAAAATAAAATTTATAGTTTAAATATCTAAATAAGGACATTTGGTTTCAAGGTATTGCATGTCATACAAGTTGTCAACTTTTATACAAAATCTCAGAAATTAACAATTGTTGATGCTTATTTCTTCCATATATATATATATATATATATATATTTCAATCATACAATGTAGTATACGATATTTTACTGTAAAACTAAAATCTAAACAAATTAATCAGAAAAGATAGCTTATTGGATATGCAATTCCATGTTGGTTTCAAGAATAATTACATTACATTATCTTGCTATAAATCACATTTCTCTATATCAGTTTTGTTATAGGCAAACATATCAATATCATGCATCCATCGTTACAAAATATGCAAATTAACAATGAATAAACTTTTAACAAAATTTTCATTTAACTAAAATTATTAGTTATGTTAAATTAATACAAGAATTCAAAAAAATTGGAGTGAATGTGGATGAACGTAATGGATCATCCCATTAAAAATTGTGGTACATTACAGTACACTCATTCATACATACACGCATCTTGCAACAATTTATCATCACGTAACTCTCTATAAGTCATAGCATTTTTTTTTTAAAAAAATTTTAAACCGTGATTATAAAACATTGTCGAAAAAATTCTATAGTACTAGTGCAGAAAAATCCTATAACAAATGGTCTTCCGATAACTAAAAAGATATACATAATTAGAAGAAAGAAACAGAGAAACAAATGCACTAGTCTACATTTTACATATTAAAATGCAAGTTGTGGGAACTTCATAAGGGGAACGGGACAGGGAACGCCCACAACAGACAACCGACGCGGAAGTTTCTAGACCCGGGAGAGAGGACGAGGCCAGAGCCTTGTCGAAACCCTGATTCGAGGCATTGCGCGCGCGATGTGCAGCGCGAGGGGGAAAAATCTTAGGCACGAACAAGTAGTAGGGATTGCGCAAATTGGGTGCGACGCAGCGACGAAGCTCGCATCGGCTTTACACGGTTTCAGGCAAAATGAAATTGATAGATCCGTCTCTCTCCGATGCTATCCGAACTGGACACCGCAGACTACACACAACGTGCGATTATTAAATGGCATGAGGAGTTGTTGCTTGCGCCTTCACTAACGCATCTTAACTGCGCAGGCACATGAGGCTCTGCCGGTGATAAATGATTTGCTCAATGATGGCGTCGGGGTTCTGGAGTGCATGAATGGATGATTAAGACAAGAATGTGGCGACATCAGAGTTGAGTTTATTCACATTCGAGTCGGGGAGGAGCTGCGGCCGTTCTCTTGGCTATGGCCATACTGCTCTCCGTTTTCGATCAGGGCTCTCACGGTGGGTAGGCCAAAGGGGTCGCCTTCTTCCAACACCTTGAGCACGGTACCTCCCCCGGTGAAGAGGTAGTACTTGGCGCTGTCCAAGGCTGCCTGGTATAGCCCCGGCCACAAACTCTTGAACTCTTGCAGCGTATCGCCCCCGCCGAAGAATTTCTGCGCCGTCGTGTTGCGGTCGATGGCCTCGTCCATCTTGCTCGTCCCGTGCCAGAATGCAGGCATCATGCCCATGACGGCGTTCACGAAGATCGTCTTCGCGGACTCTAGCACCTGGCGTACTTCCGGGGTTTCAAACGAGGCGGGGTCAACGTCCACGACGTAGCCGAATTCTTGACCCTCCTTGAAATCGTTCACGTTGATTGTGCGGAATTGGCCTTCGAATCGACCGGCGAGAGTGTCCGTCTCCACGATCATTGGCAGCTCGAGGATTTTTTTCTGCAATTTATCCTGCTCCACGAGTCCCTTGGCCAATTCGATGTCGGACTCCTCCACGCCCTTCATTCGGACGTTGTATTTCGCGCACAGAAAAGTATTGTAGATAATGCCACCGAGGATGAGGTTGTCGACTTTCTTGTAAATCTCTGTCAAGGGGCCAATCTTAGTGTCATACTTCGAGCCTGCGACGACGGCGACGAAGGGGTGCTTCGGTTCCAGAACTTCCCTCACATGAGACAACTCAGCCTGCAAAATATAGAAAGACCGTCAAAATCTAAATGTTTTTTTTTTTCTTTACAGTTTCGTTAGTAGACGCGTCGTTCATGAATCTCGTGAGGTGCACCTACCTGCATGCACAGGCCGGCGTACGAAGGTAAGTATTTCGTGATGTGGTATGTGGAGGCGTGAGGTTGCCATGAGCCGAAAGCGTCGTTGACGAACACGTCAGCGAGCCCAGCCAATTGCACAACAAACCGCTCCATATTCACTCCTTTGTCCTCCTCTCCCTGCAGTCGATAACATAAGCGCAAAATTCCATCAGTAAACACGAAGGTCAACAGTTGAACAGTGCCACGAGATTAACAAACAGACGCAGCAGGAATGGCGAATGTCCACTCAGCCACTTACAGCAAACCACCGGGTGTTGGGCAAGTAGATGCCTCCGATCTTGCGGGCACGGAGGTCGTGGATAAGCCAGTTGATCGATGTGTCGATGTCGTGAATTCCTTCCTTCTCCGTCACATGGAACTGCGGCACCGCGAACTTGATGCGCAGCTTGCGTTGCAGGTATGCAACTACAGCATCGACAGAGTCGTCCTGCTTGATGGTCAGGGTCTTGGTTTTCTTGTCGTAAGGTCGACCAATATGCGTCATGATAATGGGCCGTCCGCCGCGCTCAATGATATTGTACATTGTCGCCAGGGTGACATCGATTCTGTATTGGTCCAATATTTTACCTGTACTCAATCAAAGTCCATCACCACATTTTTTTTAAACACATTTGTCCCCACTTTAAAACTTTCTTTTCCCACAATCAAGTGATTAACTGTAACTTTCGGTGAGCCAAATTTACAATCTTTAGGTGATTGCAGGAACTCCTGCATCCGACAGCTTAAGCACAATATCCAAGAATTTTCTAATGATGGTGCCAATATTGTTCACAAACCAGCTCAAACTGCAAGAGGAGCGTCCACTGGATCTGTTCCAGTTAATATATTTTACGAAATTGTTGCGGAAACATCAAGAATCTTAAAACAGTTCCATCGTGCTCTAGTCTTAAATTCAAAGGAAACGACAGCGAACTAGTAACCAGTTACCTTTCTTCACGACGTTGTGGTCAACACGGAGGAGCACCACCTTGTCCTTGAGATCAGCGTGCTGCAGCAACGGCAAGCGGGGATCCAAGTACGTGGTTTCTTGGCCATCGTCAACGCTGTAGCCCACCTTCATGTTTCCATAGTGCAAGTTGTCTCCGGGCACGTAAGGCGCCATATCTAACACCGTCTCGCTTGATCCTGCAACAACTCTGAACACTCCACAACCACCTCTAGAACAAAAACCGCTCACAACTCTAATCGCTACAAGGTCTCAACTCCAGCACCAGCTGATGACTAGACGTCATCAACTGCTTCTTTTTATTCGAATTAAGTCGACTCCAGGCCGTGATCCAGTCACTACGAAACTCCAATAGCTTCCAGCTCTAGCTCCTCCAAATTTACAAGCCAACTGGCAAGACGATAAGACGTACACCGAACAGGATTATCGCGAAGCCGATCAACACGGAATCCTCTATCACCAAGTCTAGAGATGACTCGACTCGCGCATCTCACTCGATCGAGTTTGAATGTCCACGTCTTGCGCTGTGTCAGCAAAGACTGAAGCCAACACGGAAATCAATTGAACGTCGATCCCACGATCCGCGCATGTCGGAATGAAGCAAACTCGATCGTCACTAAATAATCGAACCAGGCTGCAAGTGATCACCGAACTCCATTACACCCCGTCGCACACTGAATTTGCGATGCACTGGAAGTGCCATTTATGAGCTGATGCAGAGGAGAGCGACAAGGAGGAAGAGATTGGGCACCGCCAGGAAACAAGGGGGATCGTTCGGGAAGTGGGGCCTCACCGCCAGTGCTCTCCAATTCAGGACCCACGATGAGCACTTTTCCTAGTCGCCGTCTGCCGCGCTCCTTTTTCATTCATCTGTCGGAGTGGTGTGTTTACTACCTTCGACGACGTTCGTGGATGATGGTTCGTGAGCAGACGGTGTCTGTTCAGGAGCCTGGTTGGACTTTTCATGGTCTTGTGGAACGCGAACTTGCGACTTTTGGTCACGTTGTCTGGAATTGGAATTCGCTGCAGAATGCAGCTTTGGAAAATATGTCTTCGGCTGCTTCGCAACAGTGCTGTGTTCATGAACGCCACCAGCAACTATGCATGCCCACAGAAATCGGTCTGTGTCCTAGCTGTTGGTAAACAACCTTTACGATTATGCGTGTCACAAGTTAATAGTTACTGCTTCTTTCGGGCAAGGTGATGTGGACTTCACGTTTGCTTGCATTGTGCGGCAAACTTAGTTGTTTAATAATCGTGGCAAGTGTTAAATAGTGATGGATGAGAGAACTCGTCTTTGCTGGGTGCATCACATCCATACACCAGCACTTGTCAACCCGAAATCACGGAAGAATTTTCCGACCAACTCACACCACCTCGTACGACCCTCGTACTAAGCCATTGTGTTTCACTATGAGCCTCTCAAGCTTCACAAGGAGCAAGACCCTTTTTCTGGTGGAAAGATCACGGGCTTTAAATGATCTTTCAGAGGTCGGACCCTCTATGCGAAGATTCGATGCGACTCGCCTAGGTGCTTTCACAAGAACCAGGAGCAGTCGCCTGTGGAATCATCAAATCTTGTGCTCGGCATGCCTAGACGTGCACTGCCGCAGCTGCAGGGGAACCCTCCAAGGTTCCAACACCATCAAAATCACCTTCAACGCTGACTGAATCAAACTGAATCAAAACTGAATCATCTCACTCACCTGGTTACTTCCAAAATAATGAGTCCGTAACGATCGTGGGAAAATATCAAAGCCATAAATGTTCCAGAAGACTTACTCTTTTTTTCTTTTCTTTTTTATTATTATTCTTAGTTTTGTGAAACACAAAGACATTTCGTTTGAGAACATCGTGTAATACTTGGCAGTGCTCCAAGTGCTGGAACTGAATCTTCACCATATGTGTTGGACGATGTGACTCATTGGTGAAGGGGCTTCCCGCGTTCTGGGATCACGACGCCGTCTATGGACCCCTGGTCCCGCTTGCCCCAAGCAATCGGGGGGAGTGTGTAGGTGGGTGACATCGCCATGCTACACAACTTTGCATGAGGAGGCAGAAGGCTGAGGCATTAGTGAAGATTCGAGAGGAGAAAGTGCCCATCTGCGATTTCCAGGTTTCGTCGCCGTAATTGTGCCGCCACGAACCAGCGGTGCTAGTGGACTATTTCCATTCGCTCTTGTGCCTTGTAATCCACGAACCGATCCATCCATCCATATCGACTTCATCCATTTAAAAATAATCCGTCCGTCCGTCTAGCATTAATGAATAATTCTATTCATCCATCCTATGGCTTCTGCTTCATCCTCCCGTGCCTTGGCCGTGATTTTCACATCTGGTGTTGGATGAGGTGAATAGTGTAGAAAAAAATTAGTGTGGTGAATTGGTGAATTTGTGAATTTTGGGGGATGTTGTGAGGTGGGTGGCTTTGAAGGAAGGGGGAGGATTCCTTTGTGATGCTTTCCTAGAGACTACTATTCTTTGAAGCTACCCACAGTGACTACTACAACAACACATGGGGATGCAATTGGGTACACAGATTTTATGCTGATTCATCCTACTCACTTGGAACCAAATAAATAAATAAATAAATAAAAAGGAATTTAGGGTAATGGTTGTGAGGAGCATCTGTTGTACCAACTCCTTGCTTAAATTTGCCCATGTGAGATAATTCCTTTGGTTCATCCCTTCCTCTTTAACAATGTCAATTGAGTTTTATTTACCTAATTTTTTTTTCATCTTCATGTTGCTCCTTAGAAAAAAAAAATTAAGTAAATAATTATATAATTTAACATACCAAATAAAGCATTTTATATAATGTATCAATGTCATAGTAAAGTTTTTGTTTGATGGTGGGTTTTTTACATTCAATAATTAAAGTATATATATATATATATATATATGTATATATTTAAATTAAAATAATCAAGAATCAATAAAAAATAATGTATTTAAAAATAAAAAATCATATCAAGTTCAGTAACCTATTTTGCTTCATTCACAACTAGTTATATTAATGAAGGAAATCAGTACAATTGTGTTAAGATAATTTGTACAAAAATAAAATAGTCATATAATTTTTGAAAATCATATTGCAGAAAAACTTAAGAATACAGATTTTTTTACATATTTTGTAAATTTTTATTACATTAATGTAAAAACTTTTAGCCGCATTCCACTAATTCTGATTCAAAGTATAGTTTCTAATGGCTTAGAAATAATTATCAATTTGTAGAATGAAATAAATAAATAAATAAATTAAATAAATAAATTTAAAGTAAAATAATTTTTTGTCATCCAAAAACAAAGATTGTTCTTGATTATTAAGATTTTATTCTTTATTTTTTTATATATGTATAATTTTCTTTTTTCAATATATCTATGTATATATATATATATATATATATATATATTTGAAGAGATTAAAGAAACAATAATTCTTAAATCATACACAATAAACATTATATATATATATATATATATATATATAAGATAAAATTATATATTAAAAAAAAACTCTTGATATTGAAAAAACAATCAAATTTTTATTTTTAAATAGTCAATTTATTTAGATTGGTCAAAATAATGCAAGAATAAATTACAAAGAAATATTCATTTTGATAAGAAAATTATAACAATAATTCATTTATTAGTTTATCTAAATAGGCACAAATTTTAGACATAATATCTAGTTAATTTTAAAGAAAGGTTATATAGACCCAAGATTTTACTAAATTGACTCATCTTATTACTAACATCCAACAAGAAGATTTCAAGAATCTTCTTAAAACATTTTATTAGGTTCTAGAAGATTCTAAAGGATTCTCAAAATATTCTTATAGAAGATTTTAAAAAGATTCTTAGATTATTTTAGAAGATTTTTAGAATATTCTAGCAAATTCTAAAAAGTTCTAAGAAAATTAAGAAAGTTGTTTGAAAGACTTTCTAGGGTTGCTTTGGCTTCAAGCAATGTAGAAACTTCTTGAGAAGCTTCTTAATACCTAGTATATTTTAGAGTTGAGGTTGAAGGGATCCTCAATCTCTATAATACATCTTTGCAAGCTTTAGTTCACCTCTCTTAGTCTTGATTTTATACTCATTTGGTTTAATTAAGTTCTTGCTAGCTTTCTTGTTGAAACTCTTTTGTTCAACTTTTTGTTTAGTCTCCTATAGTGTATCTGTGATACATCCATCATAACCATAATAAAAACAAATAATGATTTTTGAATTCATTTCTCCATTATTGGGTCTAGAACCAATAAATACCAACCACATTTATCATAATTATTATATTCTTTATCAAAGGTAAATCTATTTAATAAAAGCATGGGTCTATTTAACATTCTCCTAATTTTTTATTAATAAATTATTACTATTTATAGAATAGATTTGTTGGTAGAAAATGGATTCTAAAACCACATGTTGAAGAATTGAATCCTTATTTTTTTTATTATATCAACTAAAATTTGGTAGATGTTACTACCAATCATCAAAATACTTTATTAATTTTAAAAATTGACTAAAATTGGTTGAAAAATATGATTTGTGCCTTGATTGTAGGAGACTTGTTGTACATTTGATAAAGCAACCTTATCCATTTTATGTGACATTTCTCCATCTACTCAATAAGCAATCCAACCTATAGATTTTATTTATTTATTTATTTTATATATTGATTGTGGCAGATATATTGGAATTAAAATTATTTGCAAGAACTTTTATCCATAATTTTTCATTTTTTTCAAAAAGTTCCAATGATCAGATAGAACAAACCTTCAGTGCTTGTTACTTGTTATTTTACTTGATAAAAAAAAAAATAATCATGCTATATTTAAAAATAAAGTTGTATACCACTTATATTTTATTTTATTTTATTTTATTCTATAGATAAGTGTATATGTGTGTGAACATGTACAATACTACATATATATAAGCTAAGAATAAAATATAAGTATAAGTTGTACACAAATTCCAATTAAATCTAAATATTCTTGGTTATTATTTTTCATACCTAAAAATCTCAAGTAAAATTATTAAAAACTTAATATTACTGCAAATAATTTACATTGATTTACAAAGAGATCTATCATTCTATATACATGTTTTATTCTTTGCACTTAAATTTAGATGTAACATAATAGACATGTCTATAGTTCAGGTCTATTATTGTAAAGGAGAGTCGCTTTAAGCAAATAAAGGATGCTTGACTATAAATTAAATGTTTTTACATTCAGGTGAAATTAACAAAACCGAAATTCAATTTCTTTTAATAATAAAATAATTTATTTACAAAAAGATGGAAAAACTGAACACACTTCTCTTGACTTACGTCTGCAGCTCACACCCTCAATCCCCCAATTTCGACATGCACACTTCTAATACCTTTTTAAAACACACACACACACTTTGGATTGCCGTTTCCATACACTGCCTCATCGATTCTGTTCCAATTCCTGCTCAAATTTTGCTCAAAATTTGTTGGACTGTTGTTTAACTTTTGCTGGATGAGATTTTGTTAGCTTTTGAGTTCGCTGCTCTTGCTCTACTTGGATCTGACATTAGTATCGATCGCCTCTCCGTTCGACTACTCTCAGTTTTTTTCAACTGTTGTTCGCCATTTCACTGTTCATACAACCATGTTGCTTCACTCGCCCCCCTTGGAATGAATCTGGCAGAATCCGTCACTGCACTTGCTCCACATCTATTCAGTTGATCCACACTCCTCTTTATT